ATTTTGCACGTACAGCTTGCAAGCGCCATGTTTTTTTCCTTTCTTTTCTCTCTCCTCCCCCCCCACTTTCTCCCTCCTCCACCCCACTTTTTCTCTCCCTCCCCCACTCCACTTTCTCTCCCCCCACTTTCTCTCCCTCCTCCACCCCACTTTCTCTCTCCCCCACTCCATCCCTCCCTGCCTCCCTCTCTTTTTCATCTTCCCTCCTCCCTCCCTCCTCTGTCTTCCTTCCTCTAGGTCCCTTTCCTCTGCTCTCTCTGCCTCTCTTGCCTCCATGGTTTCTGACTCTCTCACCTTTTCTAGGAATTTTTTTTTTCGTTTTGGTTTGCCTCTAACCATCTGCTCAATTTGGTTCTGTTAGCGGGGAAATGAATGCGGTGTACTACTGCCCAGAGGCTTAGATTGGTGATTCTGGCAGTCACCTCCCTTCAACTACTCTCTTTCTAGGGGTGTGTCGGGGTGAGAGGGACACTCAGCTTCTCCTCCCGTCCCCTCAGGAAAAAGCCTGCTCCGAAAGGCAGGCAAGCACTTTTGGGGTTTGCCTTTCTCATCTCCTGGCAAGACAGCGCCAGGGATCTTGCGCAGAAAACCTGGGATCTACAGGCCAAGAAATCGCCCTCTCCTCCCTAACCCCTCCCCAACATAAGTTGGGGTCCCTCCCATTTCTTGGGGTTTCTGTGGTAGGAGAGTCACCAACCAGCTCAAAGGCTGGAAATGGTTTGATACTTGTCAACTCCAAAGAAACAGTTTGACCTCCCAGTGCCTGGCTTTTATCTAGGCAGAAGTAACCTCCTGCTCAGTCCTGGGTTGGGGAAGAAGCAATCTTCCTGGATCCCCTCTGAAACCCCTTGCTTTAAGTCTTCCCTAAGTGCCTTTCTCATTTCTGTGTAATTTAATTCTAGTTTTTCTCCTCTCCCCTTGCCCCCCAAACACTTGCCCGTTGAAAAGCCTGCTCAGTGCAATATTGAAGAGGAGAGAGGCTTCATTTATTCAGGAAAAGAGCAAGTCCCCAGTTTAAGCCTTGGAAAAAAGTCATTTTTCTTCAAAGGCAGGAGTCATATTCCCTTTGCAGTGTTGATAGGAACTACTCCAGTGAACCTCAGCTGAAAGTAAATGTCCTTGGCTAGTTCTAGCATTCTCTTCATTATTAATGCACAGGCAGAGCCATCCAGGCTTCAGGACCTGCCTGAAAAAGGTAGCTCCTTCTCCTCACATCCTTTCAAATACACTGTCTTTGGGCTTCTAGTAGTATTTGTAAATATTTGCACTGGATGTCTATGTGTAAGTTCTCTGCAATTAACATCTTCCGCATCCAGTAAATACCTAAGTGGATGTGCACCTAAGCAGGAAGTGCACAGCACCCTCTGGAGCAGGCCATTTGTATTTCTTGAGAAAGTTCCAATGACCTTGGATGTTTCTGATTTAAGGACTTCTGTTGCCATCTGTCAGCAAAAGTCATATTCTTTCCAGAAAAAGTCAGTGGGTTTTAACTTCATTGGAGGGAATCTTAGCAGCAGCCAGCGTCCTTTAAAATGTTCTCTCTCCTCCCCTGTCTTCCCCCAGATACCCAAGGATTTAAAAACAAAACAAAACAAAAAAAACCAGGGAAGCAGAGGACACAAGCTTGGATGTGAAATAGCAATACGTTCTCTGTTAAAGAATAATAAAATAATGTCTTTAATTATACAAGAAAATGGGGCAAGTTGCTGGGCCCTCCCAAACTAAAACACTTTGCACTGGTTTATTCATGTGGAACTGAACAGATTGTTCAATTCTAAAATTTCCTGAGAAATAATCTCAATTGTTAATTTTCCTCTCCCCCTCTACTCAAATAAGAGCAGGGCTTTATGACCCTCCTTTTCAGCTTGGGGAAGAAGGGCTGGGAAAAGGCTCTTTGCACTGAAAAGGCAGCCATATTTGTACTCTTTTCCCCCAGTGCAGAGATTAGAGATGTGCTGGGCTTTGTGGAACTTCACAAAATGGCAATCCCTGAGCTAACTTTTCTCTAGGAACCATTGAGACCCACATCCTCTTTTGTTTCTAGTCCTTGCAACAGAGAACCTAAATCACTTAGAAGGCTTGGTTCTTTCATTCAATGTTAACATTAGTGTCCTTATTTTTCTCTAAACGGTTTATAGACCTCTCTCAGCAGATTCTCTAAGCAGTCTAGGAGAGAGAAGCAGTTGTCTGGGTGTGAAGAGGGTTCTCTGAACGTTTATGCAAATTTCTGCAGCAAAAATGTTTGCCGCAACCCTCGGATGTTAACAGATATGAACCAATTAGAAGGGCGTCTTCTGCACTTGTCACTTCGACTCTGCACGAAACACCATGTTGGGTGGTTTGTAACCACTCTAAGAAAGAAGGTGGTGAGTGTGTGTGTGATGTATAATTCCCCAAGCTCTTTATTTGGAGACAAATCTATGCTTTTCCCAGCGACAAAAGGAAACATACACCGACATTGATTAACCAACACTTTCTGCACATGTGTAATCTATATCTGTACAAATCCACCAAATAGATACCAAAAATTATAAAATTTCTGTATGTACAAATATTCTCAAATATACCAGTAATTGCAACATAGTCTTTTTCTGTGCATTAGCTATGATTTTACCATGTAGTTAGGGGGACAATGGGGCCAGAAGGTACAGCACTTCCAGAGCAGCACAGAATGAAGAGGAAATAAGGACATTTTACTCCCCCACCCCCATTGTTTCTTGATTCCCGCACCCATCCACACACCAGGTTCCCCACCTGATAGTCTTACCCAAATCAGTGGTTCTACAAGTGGTATTTGGGGAATATTCTTGAGTGGCAGAAAGCAAATTTTGCTTATAGACAAAGGAGTCCCTTAAATGGAGGGCAGCTGGAATTTAGCCAATACCAGTCTCTGGCCAGCTTACGCCTGCCCTAGGCTGTTCCCTAGTCACACTCTCAGGCACTTGGCATCCTTACTTTATATCAGCCAACAGTAGTAGCAGGCAGCACACAGAGCAAACTGTTTCCAAATCCAGCATGCACATTTGCAGCTGTCTCCTTTCCTGCAAATGTTTCTTTAAGCCCTGAGCCACCCATGACTTCAAATTGTCTTTCCTGGCTCAGGTCAGAAAAATGCCACAGCCATGGTCTCTTCCCTGGATAGAAAGTCAGGTGGTGCTTCCCCTCTGGCCCTGATCAGTAACAACATATCCCTGGTCCTTGAAATGACAAACAGCCCACCAACGCCTGAGTGATCCAGGCCTAAAACTATAGGATTCCACTTCCTTACCTGTGCAATAAATTCCACTCTGGAAATTAAAATGTACTTAAAAAAAAATAAAGCCATCTAGAAAAAGAGAGCTCTACAATGTCTGCCTGACAAAGATGCTTTCCCTTTTAAGGGGAGAAATGTTAGTTTACTTGAAAATCTCCTTTCCCGTCCCTCTTCCCCCTCTTCTCTCATAAAATGGCAGCTGCAGGAGCAGCCTCAAATGGAAAACGGATATCTTGTTAATAACAGATCCCAAACCCCAGCATCAGTGCACGCTCAGCGGGATAAGCTGTGGTGTAACCTGGACTCCCCATGGTCCCCCACTGGGCCTACAACTCGAGTCCTTTGTTAAGTTCAAAGCTTTCACAGTATCTCCCAACAAGGTTACTTAGAGCAAGATGAAGCTTGGGTAGCCATAGCCAGCCCTCTCTGGAATTGAAAAGAGCCCCCCCCCACACACACATTTATTTTCTACAGCATGGATGTATTCAACCCCCGCTTCTTTATATATATTTTAAACCAAATAGGAGCTTTAGGGGGAACATTGCCTTCATGTTAGCAAAGGCAAGGTTCCTGATTCAGGAAAAGGGTTATTTGCGGCGCTCAAAGACACTAGCTCTAGAAAAGATTCATTTATTTATTAAGGAGCTAGCTATGTTCTGGAGCGGTTGTTTACACTCAGATTTTTCTGCATTTGCTCCCAGGGCTTGTTTTAAATAGGTGAGGCTATCCTGGAGAACAACAAGAGGACGTACCAACCGACATCTGAGATGCACACAGTAAGTTGGCTCAAAATGGGCGTGCAAACAGAGCGAAGAGAGTACAAATAAATATGGCACCTACTCAAAAAACGGAATCACAGCGGCAGCCCCAGCATCGAGACCTAGCAATTTCAGTCGATACCAAACGCTGCTCAAAACGAAAGCAAGTTTTGAAAGAAGAGGCATTCCGCAAAGCGACTTGCCAGAGTGAAAAGCTAATAAATGAAAATGTTATAATTGGCTTTTCAAGTATTCATTCACTCTAGATCATTAAATTGACATAATTTGTGTAGACTGTAGAAAAATTATTAAATGTCAACTTTGACATTGCCCTGAAACTTCTATCACTGGCCCAACATTTCCCCCAAGTTTAAGGAAGCTGCAGAGCCAGGACTACACATTACACTCTTCAGTTAAATGTGCTTTTCAAATATTTGGCCCAGACTTTTCCCAGAGATACTACAAAATAAAGAAACCTCTTAGGAGTAAACAAAAGGCACCTGAACCATTATTATAAAAGCAGAAAGAAAATACATAAATAATACATTTTAATCAAATAAAGTAAATATTCTGCAGGCATAATTTTAAAAAATTAATAGACTTCTTTTAATTTACTCACCATAAAGAAAAGATTTTAAACGTTCAAGTGCACTTGTTTGATTAATAAAGCATTTTATATGCAATTATTTAGTGCTAATCATTAGGAAGTTTACGTTGTTGAGGCAAATCACCAGTTCAGACTCAGACATTAAAACCTATCATTATAAAAATTTCGGTATAAAGTCAGTATCATATTACCCTTACACAGGACAGCTCAAGGTCTGTTTCTATGCGATAAAAGACTTTTTAAACACCCAAATCCCTCTCAAAGCGCAGAAACCTCAAGAGCAGTGACATGAAGGTAGCTTGAAATACAAGTAAAGTCCTTCCAACAAAGAAAATAGGTGGTGTCCACCAGCATATGTTGATGATTAGATTTAATAGTCTGTGGTAAAATTTTAAAGGTAGAATTAATTCGTCGGGCCTTCAGTTCTGTCTTCCTCCAGGTCTTGGGCTTCCTTTTTAGTTTCCCCATCCTTCACCTCCTGTCGGGAAACCGGGAATTTGTCCTTGTTGTTCTCCTTTTTCCATTTCATTCTCCTGTTTTGGAACCAGATTTTTACCTGTCTCTCAGTGAGAGCTAGGGCGTGGGAAACCTCGATTCTTCTCTTTCTGGTCAGATAAGGGTTAAAAAGGAACTCCTTTTCCAGCTCTAGGGTTTGGAAACGACTGTAGGTTTGTCTTCCTCTTCTTCGACCAGGAGCTGCTGATGAAAACAAACGAACAAAAAAGGGAAAATGTTTTAAAAAATGTAATGGTGCCTCTGCAGGTTGCTGGAGGTTTCTGGAGTGGGTCTAACGGATGAAATATACACAACTTTCTTTAGCTCTGATATATATAGGATGGGCAGGCCAGAGAGAGAGGGAAGTCTTCATAATTATTCTGTCCCCATCGTTTTTTCGTGGTTTCTACTTTAAGGGAAAAAGTCTGTATTACTTTATGAATAAGAGCCACTGTAGCTACAAAAGAAAGAAAAAGAGAGGGACAGGAAAAGGGAGTCTTAAAGCTAGAACGTGAGATGAAAGCAGATTTCTCCCACTCTCCCCGCTTTAAAAAAAAAAATCATATACATATATATATATATGCATCCCAACCTTGTGGTCTCATCCAGGGAAACATTTGAGAAGGAGACGAACTCTGATTTAAGTGGTCTGGGTCCTCGCCAATATTACCACTGGACGATTTACAGTCAGGATATTGTACCAGCTCGGCCTCTTGCTGGGTCGTAAAAATCGGCTGTCTCTGTAAGTTATCGTATCCGTAAAACTTCGCGGGCTCCCCGTGACAGGCAATCCCGCCGCAGGGGGGAGGCTGCGGAGGAGGAGGAGGATGCGGAGGAGGAGGGGGTACGAGCTGGTAGGCTGCGGCCGGGCTGCCCCCGCCGGGATGGAAGTAGTCCTGGCCGGGGCTCGGGCCGCCCCCACCACCGCAACCCGGCCCGGCGGGCGGCGGCGAAGGGTGCGGGTGCGCGTGCGCCAGCGGGGGCGCGTGCGGGAAGCCGGCGGTGCTGTTGCCATAGAGCTGCAGGGCAGCGGCGTGGCGGCCGCCGACCTCAGTCGCGAAGTGACAGTCGTAGTAAGTGGGATTGATGGCCTCGCCTGCCGCGGCCGCCGCCTTGTACTTGGAGTACAGCGGGTTCACGAAGTACGAGCTCATCGGGGCGGCGGCCCCGGGCGGCGCGAAGCAGGCAAGGAGGGCGCCTCTACGCTGCTGCACTGCCGCAGGGGCCTCTGGGGCGGCTGCTTGCGCCGCTGGAGCCGCGGGGTTACGTTGCTCCTGCTGCCCGCCCGCGCGTCGCCTCTGAGGCTGGAGAGCCGCGGGCGCTCAGCTACTGGGCGCTCATGCCCGGCTCTAGCCCCCGCCGCCTCGGCCTCGCGCCGCCTCCCTTGCGGGTCGCGGGGCCTCACCCAGCCCCCGCTCTCACCGCCCGCCCGGCCTCTCCCAGCGCGCGCCGGCTCGGACGCAATATAATCGCCGACGCCCCGGGTGACCTGCCCTTCTGCCTCCACTGTTTCCTTTCAGGCACCAGGCGGCCCGCTGCGCACTGGGACAAGAAAAAAAGTGCGCCCGGCCCACGGGGACACTATTTGGCTTGGTTTACAAACCCCCCGCTCTGGAGGGAAAAGAAAAAAACACCCTCTGCCTGCTGCCACCTCTCACCTTGCCCCCCCCCCGCGCGTCCCCCTCCCACCGCTCTCGCCCCCGCCGCCGCCGCCGCCGAGGCTGCCGCCCCGGTACGTCCCGGCGAGGCATTTTCGCACCACGCCACTGCGCAGAGAGCGAGCGAGATGGAGGCGAGATAAGCGCGCGGAGGGATCCGCGCGGAGGCGACACTGCTGCTCTAGACAGACGCCTCACGCTGGCCAGCAGATGCCTCCGCCGGCCTTAAAGGGGGCCCATAAAGCCACACTGCCAAGGGCTTGCGGTGGCCCTTAGGGCCGAGGGAATGTGGGCCGAGGCTGGGGCGCGGGAGAACCTTACACTTGGGGTAGGGGGGAGGCGGCTCCCAGGAGGCTGCAGAGTAAATGACTCTCCCGGCCCCTGGAGCAGCCCCGCAGAAGTTGGCCGTGGCTTTTGCACCTCTGGACACGCGGGCGCAGCTCAAGAAACATGGGCAAGCAGTATAGGTGGACCGGACTGCACTTTTTGAGTTAGGTCCTATCCAAGTAGTTTGATGAAAGGCCACACGGGTGACCCCAAAACCTGGCATTATCAAAGCGAATCTAAGCCTTTCCTTTCCAGCCGATCGGGCCTTGTGGAAATGAAATGTACATTTACCCTTGACGCACTGCACGCCTGGCTGAGGCTCCCAGGTTAATTGATATTTAATGGAAATCATGCCCATGAATACAGTTTCCATCATTTCACCCTTGATAGACGTCAGCACCAAGCGCAGGGGGGAAGCTGAAGAATGCGGGGAGGGAGGCATTAAAGCGGACAGAAATGTTCCAAGGCGGGAAGGAGGACTCACGCTGTGGTGCGTGGTATTTCTTCGGGTAGGACGCACGGCTCCCGGGTCTTAGCCCCAGTGTGGAGCGGACTAGGGCAGGCGGGGGCCCCGGGCGGAGTACGGGGGGCCGACATCGCTGAATTCCCACCTCAACCCACCCCAACCCACCCCCTTCGAGACTCCGGGCCGGCGTTCGGGTCGTGCCGGTTCCAGGCAGTTGCGGGCGGCGCCCATCTCCTGCTCAAGATTCCAGTTCATTCGCCAAGTCTGTGTAATTACGGCCGAGAGCGGGCGCCGTGCTCAGCTTTAAACGTTAACTAGTATCTCCAAAAGAAAGAGAAGTCTCATCCTAGCTGTGAGTTATGAGGAAAAGAAACGTCCCGAGTCATGTGAGCAAGTCAAATATGAATCGAAAAATGTGAAGCTCGCTCTAAAGCCTCTTGGCGTTACACCACCAACCTCCTCCTTTCCCCCACATTCTCCACTGCCAACCCTTTTTACTCCCGTTTTAATGTCTAATTAATGTGATAGGTCTCTGTTGAGTGAGCGTTCCCTCACCTAGTCGGCCTTTTTCGTGGGTTCTTTGGGTGACCAAACCGCTTTTCCTATGGGATAATCCATTGTTGTAAGGGCACCAGGCCCATCGGCTTTGGGAACCAACCTGGAAAACTCGCCTTGAGCCCATGGGGGACGCTCCCGCTAATGCTGAAACACCACGCCGGCTTTTCACGCCAATTGCAAATCTCTAAAAAGCCCAGATGTCCCCCAAAGACGCAGCAGGCCAGTGATTTCAAATACCCCCCATTCCTTATGGGTTGCCCCAACCTGTGAGTGCCATCCTGAGGTCAGTCCTGATGGACTGAATATCATATTTTGCAAATGTAGAAAATAAAGTCTAGATGGAAAGCCGTAACAAGACAATGTCTAAGACTCTTTCAATTGTTTTTACAGGGAATGGCTGGAAATGGTTAAGGTAAACGGATTGCTAATAAATCTCCAGATGATAAAGTCCTGCTTTAGTTTTTAAACTAGGAGAGTGCAGGAGACTTTTGTTGGGGTGGGGCGAGGCTGGAGGGTAGGGGTTTGTGTTTGTTTTCTGTCGGTTATCGACAGGTAAAACTTCCTTTAAATCCTAGGGCTAACGAACAGATTCTGAGAATTAACGATTTGTATTTCAACCTTGCAAATACCCAATTGAAAGTATTATTTTCAACAAAGCCCTGGAGCTAACTTTGTGATTGTGTCTTTTTAATTTCACTATTTGGTGTGCGTGCATTTGTGTGTTTAAATACTCGATAAGAGTGGTGGGTTTGGGAATGGAATGGGGAAAAGAAGAGCAAGCCCAGATCTCAGAAATGTGCAAGGCATCTTCTAGAACTATGTGATTCCAGGGGGGTGAAAAAGAAACACAAATATTACAAAATTCATTTCTACACATTCTGGCCTAATTAAGAAAACATTATAACACGACATTTCCTCTTGGGGAAAAAAACAGTTTTTCCTTCAAGCATTTTGTTTATAATCTGAATGGGAAAGGAGCACGATTAACTTCGTAAATAAAGATCCATGCTTTTACATGCTTCTGTTTTGAGAGAATGCATTAACTCACCATAATGTTTATAGTTTCAGCTGTGCCATAGTCCAAATTTCCTGAAATCCTGACTAAGCCAAAATTTTACCCCTAAAAACACGGCTGCAGAATTTAGTAGTGCACATTGTTTTTTTTGTTTTAAATTTATCCTAATTTGGAATTAAAAATAAAATTGTAAATATTTTTAATCAAAACCTTCCTTCCCCGGAATTCCAGTTTTACGAGATCACAAAGTGGAGCAACGGCGCTCTCTAGTGGCCAAATGCCACCTCAAGCCGACGGAGTTTAACTTCCCTTTTTTCGGCTTGGATCGCTGAGGCTAATAATGCTTCCTCCTTTTGATTATCAACAAATCAATTGCAACAAACAGGGGCTCCTAAATGTCAAGTATTTTTGTAGACCCAAGAGTTTCCAGTAGTGCCTTTTTTCAAAAGTTTCCAGCCCTTCTTTTGCCAGACACTATAGGTCCTCATTCTGTAATCACTCACAATTATAGGATGGGCTACATTTAACCAAAATCCCAACTTTCTAAATATCAACTGCAACAGGATTTTTTCAAGCACTTCAAAATCTAAGAAAATATAGAAGTTAATTCTGTTATTGTTTTTAAAGTTGTTACCCTTAGCATTGTCATGAGCATTTGCTATTTTAATTGTCATTTTAATGCTTCAGGCCCATTTTGCTGGGCAATGGAAGAAACAAATTTAAAACTTTTTGCAAGATCTCTGAGTCATTGTCTGGAAAGGCCTTGTTGGGCCTGTGTTCACTGGAACGTGTATGCACAATAAATGAGATTTTAAATTTATATCAAAAGTCACATAATAAAATGAATTAAGCATCCCGCCTGAAATTTTTTAAAAAGGAAAGACTTTAATCAGCTTAGGTGTTTCCTGAGAGGTTAATCTTTTTTCTCATTTTTCAAAAATGCTTTCCTCCAACTCAGCAGTAACATTTTCTATAAGCAAATAGATATGATTTCCAATATTTTCATTGCGAAGTTTGGAGTGGAGGGCCAAATATTTTTGTAAAAAGGCAACTAAGCAATTTCATTTTTTCACCCAACGACCATAGGTCTGTGAGACCCTGGGCCTCAGTAAATGAATGACCCAAGATCACTAACTCTCCTACCCTTGAATAAAAGGCTACTTTAAAAACAAACAAAAAAGAACAAGCTAGACCGCGGCCATAGTCAAATATTATAAAGAGCCACCCACCGTAGTATAATTCTAATACCTAGACCATTTTAAAAATCAGAAATACACCATCTCCGCCTTCCTACCCACACACCCTCATTTTTATTTCCTAGGTGCTCACACCTCACCGGGGGCTCCCAAGCCCCTGCTTTCTTCGTCCAACGCAGTCCTGTTTATATTTTATTGTCCAGATTTTAAGACCCAGTTTTTGTCTGCATTTTTCCTTTCCTCCTACAAACACAAACATCAAAATGAGACGGTTTCAAAGCGAAGCGCCGGGCTTGTCGTAAACTCATTACCTCCAGACGTCTCGCCGGCTGGATGACTTTATGACACCTTGGCTCTTCCTGTTTTCAAAGAGCCCTAGGTATCGAGTTGGCCGTAGGGGCGGGGGTATGCAGCACCTTCTGCCGGATCTGGGCCTTGGCTTTCCCTCCCAGCCCCCCTTTGCTTTTCCTTCAAGTCCCCTCTTTCATCAGAAACCCCCCAAACTCTGCCATCGCCCCCGCCTTCCGCCCAGCCCAGGCCGCCCGGCGCCGCAGCCTCTCGGGCCTGCAAAAGCTGTGCTGGGCCCGAACCCTCACTTACAATGACCTTCATTTTAGCCTCTGAATGCGGCCCTCAGAGGACTACGCTGAGAGCTAAACGCGCACAGAAACTGGGTTGGGGGAGGAGGCGGTGGGGTAGAGGTAGCTACCGAAGAGAGCCTTGACCATTTTGTTCTACTAAGGTCACTTTGGGGTTCCAGTGGATTGGAGCGAAAGCTCACAGCCTGACCGGCTCAGCCCTCCCCGGAGCCAGCCAGCCCTGCCGAGCTGGAGTAGGTGCTCCAGAGTGCAGAGTTGGGCTTTCCTTTGTTGGGGGCCGGGGGGGGGGGGGCATTGTCAATGACTGGGACTCCAAGAGCACAGGGAGACGTGGGGTACAGTGTGACAAAGCCCCAGCAAGAGGGTTGCGTGGCTTCAGGGGCCCCAAGACTCCTCTGGGCACTAATTCGAGGCTGACTCTGAGTCCAGGGTACAGAGCTCCTGCAAGTGCTGGAAGCAAACTAGGGGAGGGATGAGCCACCAAGGGCCACCCAGGTGCTGTGCTCTAAGCTGGGTCTGCCCACACAAAGGGAGGCTTCCAGGCACATCAGAGAGACTTCACTGGTGGAAGGGCCCGATTTTCACCAGTGTCTCCCTCCTAGGCATGGGGGAAACATCCCGTGAGGGTGGTATTTTGCACAGAGACAGAGAAAGCAACACACAGCGTTCAGGGCCAGTATCTGGGCTCCATTTCATCAGGTCAGCATTTATTGGTAGGAAGCGGTAACATTTACAACTGGTCCTCAGGCAGGAACCGGGAGGGCCTACACCCGCGGCCGCCCACGGGAGCCGAGCCCTCCCAGAGACAGTGGTTCCTCCAGTGCACTGAGACTAACCCTCCCACCCCGCCCCACCGGAGGTCCTGGGCTCCTCTTTCGGCTTCCTTCCAGGTCTCAGTCGAGGACTCCGCGGCTCCCTGAGGAAAGGGGGCTTTCATAACCGTTGGACCACCCGGCCGGGCTTCTTCGGACCTCCACTCTGTCGTCGCTCTGCCTTTATTCTCGGAAGTGGGACTCGTGTGGCCCCTGCTTGAGCAGCGCTAAGGGCTAAACTACAGCATTTTTCAGAAACATGGAGGACATTTACAAAGGAGAGGGCTGCTCAAGCCAGCGTGCACTCAACAAAATACAGCATTTCCTAAGGAACCAACGGGGCAGGAAAGGGGGGGTGCGGGGCAGGGCAAAACCCCAAAGCCACTTGGTTTCTCCAACACATAATGAGCAAATACAGAGTACCCCAAATACCTCACAGAGACCAACCACACAGTCACTTCTACTTAAAAAAGGGGTGAAATGTCTGAATCGCTGGAGAGTTTCTGGAAATCAAGCACCCACAAAGAAAATACCGCACTGCCTTTGCAAAACAGAGCGGTCCCGCCGGTGCTGTGACGGGTCAGTCTCCTTTGGGGCATTTCTCTTTGCTCATCTTTTTCATTTTCATCCTACGATTCTGGAACCAGATTTTGACTTGTCTCTCTGTGAGGTTTAGAATCCTTGCCACCTCGTAGCGCCGGTCGCGGGTGAGGTACATGTTGAAGAGGAATTCCTTCTCCAGCTCCAGCGTCTGGTATTTGGTGTAGGGACAGCGCTTTTTCCGGGTAGAGCGAGCGTGGATCCAGTTTGCAGCGGGGTTGTCTATGAAGAGGGGGGTTTGGAGAAGGGGAACGAAGGGCGGAGGGAAGGTAGGGAGAGACGACAGGGTGGAGGAGAGAGGTCGTTAAATTAATTTTACCAAGGATGGTCGCTTTTCACAACTTAGGGGAATTATCATAAAAAGCCTTAATGCCCGCGCTCTGTTTGCCGTACAAACCGCGCACCCAGGGTAGGTGGTTATGGGAAGCTTTTTTATGGATGCGTGTTGCTCGCCTAGGCTAGGATAGGCGGCTAGACGTTTTTATAGGTTAGTAAAACTATCAGTTTTGCACATTGGAGCCTTACAGGTTTCAGCAATAAATCAGGGGGCAATTTCTTTTGCACTTACTTGGGTCAAGTTGCTGCTGCGGCGGCTGTGGATGCTGCTTCTCCTCCTCCTTCAGCGGGCAGCCCGGGCTCGGGTGGTCGTTGCAAGCCGAGGGCTCCGATGAACCTCCTGCCCCGGCCCCGGCCCCAATCCCTGCCCCGGGCCGGGTTCCCCCGGCCGCTGCTGCCGCCTTGTCCTGTAGGAACGAGTTGCACGAGAACTCGGGGTCGCCGCTCCCCTGGGACTCCCGGGCCGAAGAGCACTCAGTCTGTTTGGAGGAGGAAGACGAAGAAGTGGAGGAGGAGGTGGCGGCGGCGGCGGCAGGGGTCGGGGCCGCTCCGGTTTCAGGCTTAATCCCGTAGTGGCGCCTGTTGGGTGGGCCGCTGGGGCCGGGGCTGGGACCAGGGCCGGGGCCACCGCCGCCTCCGCTGCCGCCGCCGCCCGCGCCGCCCGGGAAGCCGGGCAGCGGTTCCATCCAGGAGCGCACGTAGCGGCCGGGCTCGGAGGCGGCGGCGGCCAGGGTTGGCGGGGGCACGTACGGGTGGTAGAGGCCGCTCATCGTAGCCGCCGCCGGGGGCTGGGCAGGCACCGCGGACCACGAGGCGGAGAACACGGCCGATTTGGGGGCAAAACTACAAGAGGCAAACTCGGCGGCGGCGGCAGCCGGGCTGTCGGCCACACCTGCGGGCCTGCCCTGAGCGCCGGGCCCGGGCGGTCCGAAGCGCGCGGCGAACACCTCGTCGCCTTCATGGCCTATGAGCGAGTCCACGTAGTAGTTGCTCAGGGTGCCACTGGAGGACATTTTGAGGCGCCGTGCGCTCCCACCCAAGGTTACACTGCCCGCCGCGGCGCCGCTCCCCGCCGGCGCCCTAGCCGCCGACTAGTTCGCAGGCTGCAGCCTCCACCATTGGTCGCGCGGCCCACGTGATCATATTTACCAATACCGGGAGTAAATCAGTCCGCTAAACTGGGGGCTGCTGTGATTAAAAAAAAAATCATCATCAACATAAGCGCCGCAATTAGAGCCCGCGGGCCCCGGCCCGTGCGCCGGACTTGGCCCAGCCAAGCTCGGCCAGCCCGGCGGCTACTGGGACCACACGCCTGACTGCGGCCGGAGGAGGCGCTGGGGACTATTTGTTAGCCTCCTCTTGCCGCCCTCGGTCTTTCAGTCCCGTCCCGGCGATGCCTCCCCAGCTCCTGGGCTCCGTCCGAGCTACCAGCCGCGTGTCCTGGACACACCGAGCCCTTGGCCAGAGTCCGGAGCAGCCATGGGCACGCATGGTCGTTGCAGCCCGAGGCTGAACAGCCTTCAGAGGCGGCCCCTGGCGCCCGAGGGGAGTTTTCCCTGTGCCTCTCTCCTTACCCAAACTCAGCCCCTCCCTACACATACCCACACACACGCTCTCACAGCTTGTCGTGTTGTTTAAAACAGGTGGAAGACCTCTGTAATGATATTATGCCTTTCAATAAAAATTTTATGAGGTGTATTTGATTATAGATTAATGTGTCCCTAATAAAACGGACGGATGGAGCAGCTCGGAGGGCCCCCTCCCCCTACCACACACACACCTTCGCGCAGCCACACACACCCCCGACGTGAGGCTGAGCACACGCCATGGCCCGATGGGTGAGCTGGGGTGGCCTGGCCCGCGAGCTGGGCGCGCTGGCGGCCACGGCCGAGCCTTCTGTCTGCCCTCCGAAAGGCCGGCAAGGAGACGAATCGGCACTGTGTGGACTGTGGCGGTCAGAGTGCCTTGTCTTCTTCAGGGCTGCTGCAAAGGCTCTGGAAGAGAACATGCCATAGGGCAGAACCCAAATGCTAGCGCAAGACCCGCTCCCGCCCGCCATCGCCGGCTGCCCGGCGCCCGACCATGCCTCCAGGAGGCCGCGGGAACCGGCATCTCACGAGGCAGGGCCTCTTTCGCGTGGTTCCCACTTGGAGGCCTCAAGTGGATGTCTGCCGGGGATGTCTTTAAAATGGTCTGGTCCTGAGGCCACTCTTCCGAATTCTTCTTCTTCTTCTTTTTCTTCTTCTTCTTCTTCTTCTTCTTCTTCTTTTCTTTCTTTCTTTCTTTTTTTTTTTTTGGCCTCCAGAGGTAAGGCTTGACAGCCTTGAATCTGAGGGAAGTGCCCATTGTCACTCCCAAATCCATGGTACAAAGCCTCGGAAGCCCGGCTGGGAGCCGAAACAAAAGCAGCCGGGTGCAGGCGGCAGAGGATATATTCCTTGCTCTACAAGTTGCCCAGCGCGCCCTTCGAGGTCTCCCAGCCCACCTCGAGGCCCGGAAAAAAAGGGGGGAAATGGCTACTTATGGCCTCATTGATTGTCTTTGCCAATGGCTTTCTGATTTTGTTCCAGAGAAGCTGACTTTGCCTGTGCACAGTTTTCCTCCGAGACATGGCCCTCTGTCAACAACTAATGGTGCTCCCCACATCGTAGGGGAAACGGAAAAGTTAAAATTGCCCTCCTCCTGCCCAACCAATTGAGATCTGGGGCAAATTGACTCCAGGGTTCCCAACCTGGCATTCATCCGGACTCTGCTCTCTCCCACCCCTAGGAAATAGCTCCCCTAAAAGGGTTCTGACTTGTAACTGGGGAAGCTTCTTGGTTGTGAGGAGAAAGTTTAAAACTCTGAATAAATACGGAGTCCACCAAAGATCCCCTAGGTGAGGGCTCTAATGTTTAGAGCCCTTAAATATATTGTTTTTAGGGAAAGAGGGAGGGGGGAAGAAAAGAACTTGTTTTCCGAAGCTGCTTGAAGCTGTTGGAGACCCTCTGAAACTGCAGCACAACCTGGGGTAACGAATTCTGTCAGCAACTCCCCTCAAGGCTTCTCCTTTCTTCTCCCTGGCAGAAGTCGGGACTCTCTTGGGCTGAGGATTCTCCAGTATGTCTACTGGCGAAAGCGGGACTTTTCCAAGCCATGGCGGCAGCTGGAACATTGGACTTAATGGGATGTCATGTTCATTTGCAAATTCTCTTTCAGTCACCTTTTGTACATTCTCTTACCTCTCAGATACAGTGGCTCCAGCCAGTATTTTGTAATTAAATAGAGGGAGGATTTACTGGGGGGAATCTTTTCTTTCTTTAAAGAAATTTTCATGTGGACCACTAAAAGATAATGACTGAGCATAATATCCCTCCACAAAGAAACTAGGACAAAGTGGGATGGGAAAACTCACCCATCCTTTGCTTTGCTGTGGCCTGGCTGTCTTGCACTTGGGATAGGGGTGAGAATGAGGGAATGGGGTGCAGAATTGGATCGACGCATTGCTAAGATGCTGCTTGTTCTTGGTCCTGCAGTGGAGGCACGGCACCTTCCAGGTGGGCAAGACCGGTTTCAGCCCAGCCACTGATGATGGCACGCCAGTCAGAATTGCCAAGACCCCACTGAAAGCATTAAAAATAACACAACCAAAACCAAAGAGAAAAGACACACAAGTGGGGAGCTTTGAGTAAAAGCATCTTGGGCACAGGCTTACTTACTTTCCAGGCTCAAGCTAGAGGGAAACTCACACCCACTGAGAATTGAATTCAGTCACTGTGGGGTGAGGGAGAGAGGATTCCCCGTCTTCCCAACGATGGAAACAGCAAACCCAGGCTGGATTATCATTCCTCCCTCCTCCATTGCCAAATTGTAGGACCCTAGGCCTCCTCCAGCTTCTCTCTTCCACATCCTTTCCCTGCTCTCTATACATGCCACCCCCAACTGCCCAAACAAGCAGTTTAACAGGGAGGTAATCGCACCAAATGTTTTCATTTCCACCATAACAAATTTTCATTTTAAAAAGCAGAGGGAGCGGACTCATTTCCAGAGTTTATTGCATTATACATGCGACCAGAACATGCACAGAAAGGACAGGTTGCTGTTATACTCTACCAAACCACAGATGCACCACAAGGGAAAGGCTACAAGGCATAAGTCATCAATATTCCATCTCATCAAGGACAATTGCTAAATTCATTTGTGAAAAGATACATTGTAATGTGCTTTTTAGTCCCCCTCCCCCCAAAGCTTGTGGGTTTTCTTAATCTTTTTTAAATATATATGTAATTTAAGTACTCTTAAGTACTGATGTATTCAAAACGCCATGGGCTCATGGACTAACCACACACAGACCTTTTGTGTTAGGAAAAACATGAAAAAGTCACATTGCTGGATGGATGAATGGACTGATGGATGCTCTACAGTTCCAATAAGTTAAGACCCAAATAAAAATGCGCAGTAACTGTTACCCTGCATTACGATGAAAAAATAATAAATTACACGTGCTAGTTTTTTAATATATATATACTCATAGGGATTACAGATCACTTGCAGCACGAACAGAATGACCCCAAAGTCACATTCTAGCAGGAAAACAAAACAAAACAAAACAAAAAACAAAGAGCAATGAAGGTTTTGTTTCCGCCTTCCCAGTCCTCCAGCACTCGGCCCTGGAACTCCATGCCCCCTTTCTGATCCTGGCCTCCCACGGGCCTCGGACCTAAGAGAAGGTGAGGTTGGCGGTCAGTTCTCGGATCCGGTTCTCTCGGCTCATCTTCTTGAGTTTCATTCGGCGGTTTTGAAACCAAATCTTGACCTGCCTGTCGGTGAGGTTAACGCTCTTACTGATCTCTAGGCGGCGCTCGCGGGTGAGGTACATATTGAACAAGAACTCTTTTTCTAATTCCAGCGTTTGGTGCTTAGTGTAAGGGCACCTCTTCTTTCTGCCACTCTTTGCAGTGAGCCAATTGCTGGTTGGAGTATCAGACTTGATTTCCTCTAACAAAATTAAAGGGAGAAGAAGAAAAAAATCAAGAATTTTTTTTTTTCTCTTAGTCTGTTCAAATGTACCCTTGGCCATGACCCCGCTGGCAGCCAGGCCGATTTGGGAAATACTGGCATTAAACATTACTCACATGAAGTGGGCCCTGGAAGGGATTTGTAATTGATGTCAGACTAGTTTAAATGCCCCAAATGACACGATGGGCGGGTACATTGCCCTCTGTGTCAGGGTTCTCTCTCTCAACTTTCTGACCTGCACCAAACAATCATACAATAGTAAACTTTCAGGGTCTCCCCAGCAACATTCTAAATGATCGGTTCATAACAGGGCTGGAGTGGAAGAAGCAAGCCACAGCCTGGACAAGCCTACCAACCCCGCTGTTGCCTCAGGTCGCCAAGTCTGCCACTTCCTCCTCACTTCTCCTAGGCACGCGGGGAGCCCCACAGCCAGGTTGATAGGTGCCCATTCTCTTTCAAAACATAACGGAGGAATGGAATACTCCTTCTCCACCCTGCCTGAGCATTTTTGAATCCCTCAGAATTTCCTGAATTCTCATGCCTTCTTGCCCCCACACAAAAACGTTGCCCCAGAAATGCAGCTCCTTATTGTGGTCCACCCCTGGGCACTGGCAGAGAGGCTCAAGGGCAGGGTTCCTTCTGAAAAAAAACCAGAGCCCCTGGCTTTTTGCCCCAGCCCAGCCCTAAGGCTGGCTCTGCCAGGTGGGCCATGCAGATTCTATTCTCTCCCCTTCCGCCTTTGCCCCTCTTGCAAATGAATTGTAAAGCCCGCGGCAGTTTTCCCCAGACAAAGCCAAGGTTACCTCCTAGCTCACAGAGGCTAGGAGCCCTGTCCTCCCGCCCAAACACCAAACAGACAAGCCATCTTGTTCCCTTTGCCGCCCCCAAGCTCGCAGGATGCGGGGTGCATACACTTAAACACAAACACAGTGCCTTAGACCACCTTAAAATCATCACTGGGTGAAAGGCAAACTGGGACCGCATATCTGAGCAGGAGAAAGGGGGTTCTGGGGCCATGTTTATGAGCCGCAGGTCATTTGCACTCTTTTGTTGCATTTCAGATCCTAGCTCAGGAAAAATAAACCCAGCAAGCCCTTCCTCTGTCCAGGCTCCATCAGCGTGGGGCCAGGACTAGAAAGGAGGGCCAGGGCAGCAAGGAAGAAGCAGGGACGATCTTGGGACTGATATTGCCCCATCTAAGAGCTGGGAGGAGCTGCACCTGCCAGTTGGGCCCGACTGAGCAGCCCCGGCTCTGCGCTGGGCACCCAGGTGCTCCCTCTTTGCCAGGTTCCCGGGCTGCGCGCCCCGCGAGGGTGGCAACTCTGCTCATACCGACCTTTGCTTTCCTTCTCCTGTACTTCAGGACTGGACACGGAGACTTCAGCCAAGCAGCTCCTCTCTTCCGGAAGGCCGCCCTTGGCCTCGGGACTCTCCACCTGGGAGACTTTGGTGGGCTCCTGGCCACTCGCGGGCTCGTTCATCTTCTTTTCCATCTGCAGCTGGGCGGCCGAAAGCTGCGGCTTGGCCGCGCCGCGAGGGTTGAGCTGGAGCATGACTGTGGAGCTGCCTTCGGGGCTGTTATTGTACTCTTGGGTTTTCCCGGTGGCGTAGGTCTGACTCAGTCTAAAATATCCAGGGACAGGAACCTCGGGGTTCTCAACGGGACAGGACTCAGGGACCAGCCTCTGGTACGAAGGGACCTCGGCAGAAATGAGTTTGTTGCGCTTATCAGAATACATGCAGCAATTGGATTCTTCCTTAATGTTGGTGGTGAAGGAGCAGGTGGGGACTTGCTGTGTAACAGGTTGCTCTATTCGACAAGATCTGTTCGGGTCTGTCCAACTGTCTACTTGAGGTATATAAGGATGCACATTCATACCCATATTTTGGTGGTTCACTTCTCTTTTGGCCAGAGACGGGAGCAGTCCACAGGTTTGCATTCCATAGGTCCCCATGTCTGCGCTAGGTGGTGGCATGTACATGCTGGCGCTGCTCGAATAAAAACTGTCACTCCTGCAGGCACTGATCAAGGAATCTACTAAAAAAGTATTAGCAGCAGGAGAGCTGTTGGGAAAGGACATTTTGGGGAGGAATTTGAAGAAGAGAGATTGTGTCCTTTGTAGGCTGACATCTCTAGGAAAACATTCCCCGTGTAATTGTGGATGCCTCTGCCGACCACATGACAACTAAGCCAATGAGATTTGAAAATGGCCTTGAGCCGCAGCCTCCTCGCAGGTCACGTGCTCCAGAGCAGGGCCGGCCGGCCGCGTAAGCACGGACAACAGCGACATCTACTATGCGCCGGAGATAGTGCGCGCTGGAGACAACCGGCCCAGCACTCCGCCGCCCGCCAGCCTACCCAGGGCTCGCTCAGACCGCCGGTCCCATTCGCGTCCCCCCACTCTGGCCTCTGCGCCACGCAGGCGGAAGAAAAGGCTCGGCCGGAGGGGCCTTGGGAGGATACGCGGGGAGGGAAGCCGGAGCGCAGTGGCGCCAGCACATAGAAGCATTCCACGCACACACCCAGGCAGAACGCTCCCAAGAGTGCCAGAGTGCCGGGGCCCGGGCGGGGGTGGGGTCCCAGGCTGGTTAATTTTGTCCAGGGCAGTCTGGGAAGGTGAGTTGATTTCCCGGGCTTTGAGACATCCCACCCCGGGGGTCCATAGGAAAGAGCTCCCGCGCAAAGACACGGCCAAGGTATCCTGGGAAGCAGAGGCAAGAAGGGCCGCGAGGGCCAAGAGGCCACGCAGCTGGCCGGCCCCGAGCCCCGAGGACCCGCTCGGCCCGGCGCTGTCCTCTCCTTCGGCCTGCCGTGCCGGACTCCACGGCCCTTCGCTCCCAGATAGGCTGCCCGAGCCTTGGGCTCTCAGAGGAACCACACCCCGACCTTTGCGGACCGACGCTGGGAGCTTTCAGGCTGGAGACAATCCCTCGGCGGAGTAGTTCGTTATTCGAGAAATCGTCCCTCGGGTTTCCAGCGGGAGAACGAAAGCGAGGTTTCCCTCCCCACAAACCCTGATAATAGATGGCAAAGAAGGAGGAAGAGAGAAAGAAAATAGTTTCGTTTTGTTTTGTTTTGTTTCCCCAAAGAAAGGAAAACTCTCGTCCTCAGACTAGAAGTTTTAGAAAACTGCCTGGGCCAAACAGGAGAGAGAGATGATGCAAAAGTGTCATTTGGTTCTGCAAAGAAAAATGTTTTCCTTTTATGGATTTTGTAAAAGCATTGGTTTCTGACAAGTGCAAGGTACAAAAGGTTGTGGAATTTATTAATACATATTAAGAAGAATCAGGGCGATCAATAAAATTCTCATCTACATTCTTGGGCTACTTGGTAATTTTCTTGCTTCTGAAGGTTTTTAAAGAGTTATACCCACCGTTGCCACACACGGGAAGATATTTTATTAACAAATCAATCGTGACTTTGTAAAGGATAAGATTAATAGTTAGGATTTAGCATAATGGTGTTCGCTTTATGAATTATTGAAAATTATACTATTGATTTTTCCCCCTCGCTACTAACCAAGAAGGTCAATTTTTGTTTTAACACAAATCGTCAAATATTAAAAGCTATAGTTTTGTCAGAAGTCGAGTTTTATAGTTTTGGGCAATTCCTAAAATTATTTGACATGGTTTTGCTTGGGTAAGGGGAGGGAGAAAAAAAAGGAGGTGGGTGAAGAACCTTAGCCTTCTGTTTCCTTTGGTGAGGGAATGTTCCATAAAGAGGATTTGGTCTGGGATTGTGGTTGAGCTCATTAAAGAACAACCACCATCACCACCAGGGAAACTCAGAGTTTTATGAGAAAGTTCAACAACTTCCTCCCTCGTTCTCTAGTTGCAGGCGGGTAAGCAACCCTTTGGAAGCCCCAGCCTCAGGGCAGCAGTGGGGATCTTTAACCTTGATTTCCAAAGGCTTGCCCTGGCCTGGCCAGGGCGCTGGAGCCATCCTCCGCTTTCGGATCCCCTTCACTACCTACAAGGGAAGAAAAGGGCCCCGCTAACTCTGATGGGGAACCAGTTCTCTAACCCGGAAGGCATCCGTGTTTTCTTTTCCCCACATTGCTCTGTTATGGGATGGCCTTGGATTTCAGGCCCAGAGACTGAACTTGTGGGTCAATTGGGTTTCCGCCTCAGGAGAACATTTCTTTGGAGCCCGATGCTAATTAAAGCGCATCAGCATTCTGGGGGACCTAGTTGCTTGTTTGCTCCTTCACAAAAAACCTTTTCCAACAAACCTTTTGTCAATCCCTCCCCAAAAGGAATCTCTGCTGGCCTGGTGGAAAAACAGGGGTTGGACATTATTTTCGGCCTTGGGACAGCTTCGCCTGTCCCCTCAAAGTGCCCTCGCCCAAACAATAACCCCTTTTAAAAACTCCGCGGTGGCAATGAGACAGACCTTTTAAACCTTTACGCAGCTGTTCAAATACAACATCATTGTCAGGTTAAAAGCCCAGCGCCTCTAACTGCTCAGGCTGCGGGATGCCTGTGCCGGGGAAGCCTGAGGGTTAAACATTACATTACCTTTCCACAGGGTTGTCTGTTTTTAAGCATGGGGGTGGGGGTGGGGATGAGGAAAGCAAGAAAAAAACCCCAACTTTTGACTCTAGTCTGCTAAAGTCCTGTTCAAATCTAGGAACTACTGACCAACACCCGAAAATTGCATTCTCACAAGGCGGAGATTACCATCCCAGCCACAGCAAAGCATGCCCAGGGCTGGACAATGTGCCCGCTACACACGCTCTCTCGGCAGGCGCCCTGACGCCAGCCTGGCGCTCCAACATAGTCCCTTCCCATCTTGGCTAGGGGAGCTGCCAGGAACTTGGTTGTCCATTTCTTCCTATCCCAGGCAGAAGGCAAAACTGTTCGATCTAATTAGGAATTTTATGCCCATCAAATGCCCTTTCATAATCTTTATTTATACATGAAGAAAACAGACAAGCTAAAACAAAACAACAACAAAAAAAAACCCCCAGCAGTTCCTCGCAAAGCGGATAGATCTGCCAGGACAGGCAGGATCTGCCTTCCGAATATGGGGGCCTTTCTGTTTCACCTTCCGAGGGCTTGGAGCTCAAAGTCACCTCCACATTGGATTTGGTTTTAAATCGGTCTTCTTCACTTAAAGAAGAAAAATGTGTATCAAATATAATTTTGAATTTACCATCGCAAAATTCTATTTTATTCTTTTTAAAAAATGTCTGCCTTCAGACCAGCTCCTTGAGGCCAGAGACTGCCAATATTTCAAAGAGATTTTATCATAAAAATCAAGCAAAATAGTTTTAATACAAGAGAATCATCTGGGCAAGGGAGGATGTAAAGTTTGCGTAACTTCCTAAGGCTAAAATGAAGCAAATGGAATGAAAAGGCAGTGGTTTTCATGTCCAGCCTTTATTTTGCTTACAAGTATTTAAGTAGCTGCATAGCTCACTGTTCTCGATCATCTTTAGATCAGTGGGAGCAGTTACCATTAATAATAAATCAATATTGCACCATAAAGGATATAAATATCCATGTTTGCACCAAGATACCCTTCTCCCTGGCATAGTTCTTTGCAGAGAAAATTTAAAAGGGTCGCTCTATTAAGAAATTAGCATGTGTAATCAAGAAGTTGTTTGCCTCTGTGCTCTCTTGTCACCGGGAAGAAGAGCAGCATCACCGGGCCTGGGTGAACTTGGGGGCTCCTGGGTTTGCCCTAAATTTGGGCCCTGAGTGGCCTCAGGGCCATACCATTCTTTGGGGGCAGAGTAGATAGGGACAAATTTTAAAAGCTGCTTTCCCAAGGCACCCCTCGGGGTTGCACTGTGCATCTCCCAGACAAAGTGAAAAGAGATCGGAGCGAATAGGGAGGCTAGGGAAGCCACCACCAACTCGATGAGGGGTCTATGGAGACGTGTAAAAGGGCTGGCGGCCAGGGAGCCTCTTTCCAAAGCAGACACAAAAGACTCCTTACTTAGCACATTTTCCCTCCACTTCAAGATCTGAGGCCTCGGCGAATCAAGATACACGACCACCCTCCACGAGCCCCATAGCGCTGAATGATCAGAAGGGGTCAGGTCTGCAGTCCTTAGAAGTCCTGGTCCAATTCCCTGGGCTTTTTCAGGCCCACCTTGGGAGCTGCCAGGAGGAAAGGAAATGCAGACTAATAAGCACCCATGGTCTTAGAGAGCCTGCCAGCCAAGGCCGAGGGGCCCCGCAAAGCCACATGCACTCCCGCTGGGATCACCCAAAGAGGATCACAACGACATTTGGGGAGTGGAATTCTCCCCGCTCCTTGACTGAGGCCCGGGTTAGGTCCCCAGAAATGCTGCTTCACAATAGCTAAGTTGGACCTACATCCTAGCAGGCTGGAGCCGGGGGGGCCCGCAGGGAACACCCACGCCTCTGGCTGGCGCCTGTCTGGGGTGCTCATGGTGCCCTAGCCACCCTGGAGCCGATGCCAGCTCCCAGGGGTGGACCCAGAGCCCTTGGTCCAGGGCCTGGAGGGAGGAGAGAGACGGCGGAGCCGACCAGGCCGACACTAATTCCGAGGGTTGTATGTGCTTCACAATGAACTTCGGAGAAGAAGGGATAGCTACCCATCCTTAGAAACCCACGTCCTGGAGACCTCTCTTTTGCAACCTCCCTTTTGGACCACGGATGACACCACAGGCTCTTCTCAATGTAAGAGACTTTGCAAAGGGCGGGGGGGGGGGGCTGAGGAGAACAGCATGAGGCAAGAAAACTGCATTCCGTGCTCAAGGCCAGCAGACCAGGGGTTTGTCAAATGCAAAGCCCGTTTGCTTCCAATGTATTACCCATTCCATAACGCCTACAAGTATAAATGTTAACCGATACAATCTGCCGCTTCCCACAGCCACATCAGTCCAGCCTGGCCCCAGCGCCCCAACTCATAGCCCTTCCTGCCTGTGCCTCTAGGTCGCTACCTGTAGTCCCTGGCTCCAGACTTGACTTGGGTGGAGGCAGGACGTTCTCGTCCAGAATGAGCCCCCCTCAGTTCAGATACGTCCTATTTTTTTCTAGCACCACACCCAGCTAAGTTGCCAGAGCCCTGATATGTCTTAAACAAAAGCCTTTTAATCATCCCAGAATGTCGGAAAGCACGCAAGGGGACATGGTTTTGGGGAAGGGGTGGTCCTAGCCTCATAATTGCTCCCTACATTCAAACCATAAAGAATATTGATATGCGCTAATTCAATCAACTCGCAGTGGCATGGCCTATTTCGAAATGCACATATTAGTTTTTTTAAAGTCTTTCCTGAACACTACCAGGTTATAACAAGATACTCTTTGCAACAGCTTTATCTTTGAAGAGACAACGATTAGGTGATCACTCTTTTCAGAAATCTGGGTAGTTCCCTTTTCTCTGTCTTTATACAATTTCCCACACCTCATGGCTGCTTAGAACAAACAAACAAACAGCAAACACACACCTTAGCGGCCGCCTGTTTCTAACGGGCTGAGATTGCCTATTAGAATCCAGTAATAGAAAGATATGGTACGGCGGTCTCTGCGCCAAGCACGGCTTCTGGAACGTGAGCACGCCCCCGTGTGGCTCTCCCAGGCCATGCCAACGGAAAATGGTATCGCTTGCCTTAGGTGGCATACAAGCTTTCTACATTTAGCCGCAGTAAAAAGAAAGAAAAGAAAGAAAGAAAAGAACAGAAAAGAAACGGAAAGAAAGAAAGAAAAGAAAAAAGAAAGAAAAGAAAGAAAGAAAGAAAGAAAGAAAGAAAGAAAGAAAGAAAGAAAGAAAGAAAGAAAGAAAAATAAAAGACGTATGACGAAAGAAATAAACCAGTTTTAAGCAGCTTCGGGAAGGATCATACTACTACTACCACTAGGGCACTGACATTTTAACAGACGCCCAAAATTCCAAACAAAGGAATCCCCTTCCAAACGAAATTACTCAACTGTAGGCTTTGTTTCTATTGCATCTTTCACCAAAGGTTGTAGGACACTTTAGAAAACAATGTATTTTCTTTTGTTCTATGTAATTGAAAGTGCAATAATTTATTTGACCAGGTAACAATTTTTTAAAAAATATAACGAAACTGTAAGTCTAAATAGAACTTCATTTTTCAAATGCTTGTTTTTATAACTGAGGTTCTTTATTAGAGCAAGGGGTACTGCTATCTATGACTCCTCCCAAAACACTCCATATTTCCTAGCTGTATTAACAGCATGCTGGAAGACATTTTAATCTAACTAGTGTTTTTAAAAGAAGTCAATTGTTATTGAATTACACAAATGCTTGAAGGGAAATTAAGGTTATTGATCCTGAAATTAGGAATTTGCTTAGATTTATGGTGAGTCCCCATATGATTCTGTGTGGTCATAAATGTGTGTGGGGATCTGGATGTGTGAGCATGTGTGTGTGAGAGTGGGTGGCGGATGAATATCACAGGAGGACCTTAAGGCGCCTAATTATTCAGAAAGGTTAAAGGTGATGACCTTGACATTTTGGAAGTTCAAAGGCATACACTTATGCACTTATGTTTTTCCTTCCCCCCAAAGCTTTGGCAATTAAAAAATTTTGCATTGGAAATGCATGCCTCTTTGGAAGAGGCATGTGGTGCTGTATATCTTATGGATTTATTTTTTTTTACTCTGGGCTTATGAGACGTTAAGAGTCATAAGATTCATTTTACTATTTTAAGAGAAAGAGAAGTTTTTCTCACTCCTCCAGTTTATTGCACATTGCGGAAATCTCTTTTGGGCCCACCAGAAGGTGTATAATATAACCCAATTAAGCTGTTTAGAACTTTGGCTTTTATGGTGTTGTCTAGACAGTTCAAGGTTTTGTAAACAGCCTGGCCTGGTCCTGCAACATAAAGTGCAGTGCACCCCCCAACACATTCTTTAACTTAAAGCGATAAATGCAGTGAGAACTGGGTCTGCAGCCCCCTGCCCTATTCCAGGAAGGGGGCTTACCTTCCCTGCTCCACACACGCTGCTGAGACACCAGCAAGCACCCCAAGACCTCTCTACCCATTGATAACTTCCTTTTAGCAAACTTCTGTTTTTCAACGAGGGGTTCTAATATTGGTTTCTTCTTTTCAGGGACCTGGGATTCTTGATTAAGAGTTAGTTTGCAATTTCTAATCAGTTTCTTAAATGTGTTTTGTTTTTCAAAAATTTTAATTTCCTTACACTAGTGTGTGTGTGTGTGTGTGTGTGTGTGTGTGAGAGAGAGAGAGAGAAAGGGGTGGGGGTGTTGCTTCTTACGTTCCTGCTGCCTCAGCCTCATCGTCTGGAGAAGGCAGCACCAGGGGCACATCCTCAATTCAGAAGTTCATCCCTCAAATGATTTTTGAAACCAATTAGCCTAGAAGTGGGGGAGGGAAACCCTTATTTTAGCAGAATTTCATTTGATTTTCAGTTGCTTGGGGGAGAAGATTTTGGCAACTAAAATATCCTGATCAGACACTAAACTTATTCAAAGAGGAAAATTCATACAGTATATTGAAGCTGTAACCTCCATTTTACTAGAAACCATTTATTCACACAAAAGACAGTTACTCATGCCTTGATACGACAGACCAAATGTACACATTTCCCAGAGATTAAATAATCTGCATTCACCAAGGGAAAAAGACAGGGTCCCTTAAACTCAGAACAAAAGCAAGTGCCTTGCCGCCCAGGCCTAACTCTCTACAGATCCCACAGCGTCCCCACCGGGACCTGGTGAGAGGGAGGGAAAACAACAGCATACTGGCGGTAAAATTGTAAAGGGTCGTTTGCATTTACCATTTTCCCCTTATTAGGATCCGTTGGGCCAAGTCCCCGGCCTCGTCCGCAGGTAGCAGTGGTCGCTGGGAGGTCCCGAGTTGACCGTGGGAAGGAATGGTGGAGTTCCACAGAGAAGAGGCGTCATTAAACCCAAGGACACTGGGCCTGCCGAGGGCAGGGTGGTGGGGAGGAGGGTGAGTGAGTAGGGGTTGTGGGAGAGGGGTGCTTCCTGGAGCTCTCAAAATAAGGGATTTCCAGTGAAATACTGCAGACGGTCTCTGTTCAGTTTCTTTTCCTTCATCCTGCGATTCTGGAACCAGATTTTGACTTGCCGGTCAGTGAGGTTGAGCATCCGAGAGAGTTGGAGTCTTTTCTCTTTGTTTATGTACACGTTAAAGAAAAACTCGCGTTCCAGTTCTCGGATCTGGTACTTGGTGTAGGGGCAGCGCTTTTTCCGGGACCGCTGAGGGGTCACTGCAAGGCAAAGAGACCAAGGGGTGAGAGAGGCCGATGCCTGCCAACCCCCGCCCACCCTGCCGCCCGCCCAGGCCTTCGCGAGGGCCAGGCCTCGGCCCTTTGGGGACGTCCCCTGCCGCTGTTGAAAGGCCCTGACTGCGTCGTGGGGAATGATATATGGGCGGGCACAGGAGAAAGTGCGGGCGTGGACCTGTGTTCACACCCGGACACACACATACACACAGGCTGGCCCCAAGGTGGGGAAGGAGAGCACGAGGCAGCCTCTGAGCTGGAACTCGAAGGGAGAGAAACAGGAGCGCGCGGGGGCATCTGCTCGACTCCAGGCAGGAGCGCGCGTCAGCCAGAGGCTTGGATAAAGTCCAGTTCAAGGATCAAACTCTCCTCATCCCACCCCACCCCTTAAAAAGGGGAGGCTCGAGTGTCCATACTCACAAATTGGCTTGAAATCTTCCCTCTCTCCCTCCAGGGTCTCTAGCACACACACACCCACCAAAGTGAGGAAAGCTCTCTGCAGCGATTAATGTCCTCCTCGAAGTCTACCTTAAGCCCACCTAAATTGGTTTCCTATCGTAAACACGCTTTACAACGGCCCGGGAAATCTTATAGGATGTATAAACCTCTTCGAACGCTTATAAAGTAGCACATAAAACGGCGCAAGCGGAGGGAGGCCCCCGCCGCCCCCCCGCGCCCGCGCCCGCGGCCCCGGGCCCCGCCGCCCACCCCGCGCCGGGTGCCTACCTGTGCCGCTCTTCTCAGCCCCCGCCTCCCCCGGGGGCCCCTCGCCGTCACGCCCGCCGCCTTCTGCCGCCCCTTTCGGCTCCGAGGTGGGGGTCGCCTTGGCGCAGGGGCTGTCCCCACCGCCACCTGCCCCCGACTTGGGGTCTCCCTTGTCCGCTGCACCCTCGGGCTGCGGCGGCGCGGGCGGCGGAGGGGGCTGCGGCCCGGCGAACGGGGGCCCGGGCGCGGCCTCGTAGAATTGGTCGAAGCCCTGCGGCAGGATGCCGTTGCGGCCCACGGCGCTGTAGAAGTTGGAGGCGGCGCCCGCAGGGCCGTGGGGCGGCCCCGGCGCGGCGCACACCGGCTCCGGCGCCTTGAAGAGTACGTCCGGCCGGCGGCCCGCGGGCGGGAGCAGCTCGCGCTGCATGGCCGCCTCCTCGGCTGCCGCCGCCGCCGCCGCCGCCGCCGCCGCCGCGTAGTAGGGAGCGTAGCCCCCCGCGCTGCCGCCGCCACCGCTGCCCCCTCCGGGGCCGCCCCCGCCGCCACCGCCCCCCGCGCCGCCACCGCCGCCGCGGTACGGCCACTTGGCGCGCTCCAAGCTGTAGTCGCGGAAGGCCACCTCGCGCACGGGCTGGACGTGCGGCGCTAGGTTGGAAGAGTAGGGGAAAGTCATCTGGCAGGACGACGGTTGCGACAGAAACGACGGCTTGCTGGCGAAGTCCGACGGGGCCACATAGTAGGCGCAGCCGGGCAGGTACATGCTGGCTGCGCTCGGGCCGCACTCGTCAAAGTCATTCATGGCTCCGCGGCGTGCGCACCGGCGAGCCCCGGGCCGCTCCCCGCGCCGCCAACCTGAGCCATTGATTGCACAAGAGGCTTGGGCCAGGATCAACTAAGCAAAAATCCCCACCGGGCGCTGACGTGCAATTCATCTTGATTGATTCTGGTGGTAATTATGTCACGTGACGCCATGGAGAGAAATGTCCTTATATCTATATCAGTGCTCGCCAACACGCCCCGGGACGGCTCCTGGCGCCGAGACGCGCGCGTTGGGGGCGGATCTGTCCTCGCTCTCCAGCCAGATCTCCCTGGGCGCCCCCTGACTAGGCTGCTCCGCAGACTGGGTCACCTGTGCGCTGCCGGTGGCTGCCACTGCTGGGTGCATCTGCCACCGCCCGGTTGGGCCGCCCGCCCGCGCCGCTTTAAGTACGCGGACCGAGGACGGAGGGGAGGAGGAGGGAGGGGGAGGAAGGGGGAGGAAGGGGGAGGAAGGGGGAAGGGAAAGAAGCGGGGAGCGGAGGGGGTAGTCCCGGCTCAGGGCACTGGGGACTAGGTGTGAGGGTGTGAGGTTCCCACTCTCCACACCCCTTCCTGCAGCCGCTCCCTCCCCCGCGACGCCGCCACCCTCTGTAGCTTGCTAGCCAGGAGCTTGTTGCTTCTTGTTCAAGGGGCGTGATTGCGCAGCTCTGGGGCACAAGCAGCCCTGATTTACATATTTCTCTGCCAGGCTCTTTCACCGCATAGTAACTTGGCTCTCTCCAGTCTTGACCCAGGGAACGTGAGTGCCAGCCTCGGAAAACCCACTCCAAAACCCCATCAGGGGCTCACCCGGGCTAGGGCCTCGGTGCCCACTCGGCCCTGTCGCCCTCTCTCCTCTTGTCTGCGGTCCTGCCTTTTTCTTCTTCCTTCGTCTCTTTGCAGCCTTCTCACTCCATTCTCTCCTGTCCTGTCCGTCTCACTCCCCTCTCTTGTTTCCCCTTTCCTTCTTCCTTCCTTTTACTTTTCTTTTTCCTTTTCTCTCTCTGTCTCCTGGTACTCTCTCCTTTCCCCTAGCTGTGTGTCACAGCCTCTGGCTCGCTCCCTGTCGCCTCTCTGCATTTTTTTCCCTCCCAACGCTGAAGCAGGGAGGAAGTTCAGCCATCGGAGACACCCTGTGGCCCCTCTAGAAGCTGGCGGAGGGGGGGGGTGGTCCTGATGAACAAAAGGGTCTGGAGTCCTTCTGTCAGGGCACCCAGCCTTCGGCTCTCCCCCTACCAGAGACAAACCATCAGCACCCCTGCCTTCCTCGTCCTCTTTGATTTCTGGCCGGGACTGGGACCAGCCCATCTCACATCCAGCCCCCTCCCTGCGCCGGAGCCCTGCCAAGGCCTGCACATCCGCCATGTCTCCCCCAGTCTCCTTCAGTGCCCTTGGGCCCGCACAGTTACTGCACCACCCTCCTCGAAAGTGCATAGCCTGCGGGGGGGGGGGTGTCTCTCAGTAGTTTTTATCTCCTTGCTTGAGTCCCTCTGTGCCACTTGGCCCTGAGGACCCCCTATCCACTTGCCCCAAAGCCTCACTCTCCTAGGTGGCTACTTGGTCCCTCTTTCCTAGTCTGGAGGTCCAGTCGAGGCCAGGGCTCCCGCCTCTGGAAGAGCCAGCACTTCCTTTAGGTAAAATCAGGCTCTGCAAAAAGAACCTCCCAAAAACCCAGATCCCAGAATCCAGGATAGGAAACTTCCCCTCTCCCCCGATTCCTCTACCTAGGCAATCATAAGCCCTGGGTCCTGGGCCTCAGCCCTATGCCCAGAGCAGGGAGCGCAGGCTGTGACACTGGTTCCCTCCACCACCCCAGTGCTCAAGAGGTGAGCTCTGCCCGCCACCTCAACAGAGAAAAGGCAGGTGATGGGAGCTCATATCTATTTCTGGCTGATAACCCCCTCTTCCTCTTTTTCTCCCCCCTTCCCCTTTTCTTCCCATTCTCCCTTCTCTGCCCCCCTCCTACCTCCGCTTCCCTCCGAATACAGCGCAAACTGGTCGGTGGCGACTGGAGGGCAAGGGACCTCCCCCGCCCCCCAACTGTTCATCCTTGTGTGCACCGTCCTCGAGGCTGGCACCCTCGCCCAGATTCCAGCTGGTCGCCCTTCTCCTCCGCCCAGACCGCCAACACAGTTATCTGCCTCCCCATCTCCATCCCTGGCCCAAGCCTCTTCCTTTCGGGCTCTTAGTCGACACCCCTGGATCTCTCTCCTAAAATGGCTCCCGGGACACTGCACACTGCCCTGCGGCGGCTCGGGACCCGGGGCAGCAGCGGCGGGGCCCCAAGCCGGGTCTTTCTGTGTCGGGGGTACGCAAAATTCTCTGCACAGGGTAGGGCCCAGGCATCCCGCTACCCCCAAAGTAGAGCCTGCTGACCGCCTAAGAGGGAAATGGGAAGGACGAACCATTCAAGTTCAACGACATGGCGATGGCGGCTTCGGCTGGAGCTGTGCTTTGGCGGGGGAGGGTTCGCCATCTGCAGCGGCGGGCCGGTGTATGGGGGAAGGAGCCGGCGGGCCCCCCACTGCGCCTTTACAAGGACCCCCGCCCCCACACCCAAGCCAGGACTTTCGTTCTGGGCCCAGCCCGCTTAGTCTTTTGACTCCAGCTCCCTCCTCGATCTTCACCCAAAACCCCAGGAAAGAGGCAACCTCCCAGCCCTCGCGTCCCGCTCGAGAACCTACCGTGAAGACGCCGGCGCTGTGGCCTTGTCCTTTGCCCGCGGCCCCACTCGAAGCGCAGGGAGCGCACCGGACCCTCCCGGAACAGCCAGCGGCTCCGCGAGTGATAGCTTTCCGAGCAGCGCCCGGACGCGATGCGGTAATTTCGAGCCACCCAAGATAAGACACTAACTTGACCTTAACTTTGTCAGGGCGCCCCTGGTATCTGGAGAACGTGAACAGACACTGTCTGGCAGCTCTCGTAAAAGCTGACTGGGGAAGGGATTCTGAGTCATTTCATTTATTGCCACTACAGTTCTGCAAGAAAGCTTTTCCTCCCTGCCAAACTTTAATTATTTATGCTCTTTTAGGAAACGAAAGAAGAGGAGAAAAGCGAAGAAAACACGCAGAGCCAGTCCCTTCCTTCAGAGCCTTCGGAATGGGCTTCCTAAGTCAAGTGACTGGAGAACAAAAAAAAAAAAAAAAAAAAAAGTGGGGAGATCACCTTTGTCCAAGGACGATCGGACAGGCGCAGTGGCCCCCACCCCACCCCCCACTAAGGTGGGTGGATGCAGCTGGGAGAGGCGGGATGAAGGGGCAACCCCCCTACTCACACACATGAATATTTACAACGGTTCTGGATTTCTCCTCCACTCCAACCCCCACCCGGCCTCCCGGAAGCCTCCCCAGCCCGCCTCCCTTGGGGAGAGCCCCCAGGCCTTAAAAGCGGCCCCGTAGGCCCTCTGAACTCGCAGCCGATTGAATGTCAGACGAAGCCGTTTTTTTCTCGTTTAAAAACCTTTTTCTTGGTAAAGAGGCCTGTCTGGACTGCAGCATTTCGGAGAACGCATTTGTCTTTGTGCGAGGGAATGTTGAGCACTCAGATTTCAGCATCCTTTCTCTTTGGCGTTTGTTTCTTATGATGAATTTCGTCGTGGTTCCAAATCCCTGCCGGGACTGCGGCTAGGAAGGGAGAGAGGACACCGCCGCCTTTGTATTTGTATGGATCAGTAAAAGGGATAGATTTGAAAAACATTGCCGAAGCCATAAGGGACAGACAGGGTTTTACAGTTAGAATAATTTCAATCTCATTGGGGAGTGGTCTCCATGAATATCTCTTCCCACCCTACATCCCAGGCTAAAGAGAAAGAACACGATGATTTAATGGTATATATTGGAAAGACATGGTCTTGGCGTGTTGTCTCCGGTCTTGGATTTAAGTCTGGGTTTTCTGGACCTTTACCCAACCCTCTCAACCTGGTGTCTGAGTATGGCCTCCCCCTTTGTTTGGATGTTTTGAGACCCAGCTCTGGGTACCACAGTGCCACCCCCTCCCTGAGCCCCACAAGACAGGGAAACCTTTCTAAAGATAAGGCCTCCACAGCCTTTTGGTTCCTTTTTTCCTCTGTTGTATTTTTTTTTTAAGAAGCTGTTTAAAAAATATTTTTAAAATAAACATCAAGTTCACTTGAGGGAAGAGGATTTGGAACCATTGAATATGCAGCATTAGAGATTTAGCAGTTTTTTGAATTGTCCCACTTGCTAAAAGCTAGCAGTTCTCTACTTTCCATCTCTGAGCTCGCTGGGGCTGGGGTCTGCAAGAGGAAGGTGAACACAGCAGGCTCCAGCTTTCCCAGCTTGAGCTAGAGGCTCTGAAGGCCTAGGGGTGCAGAGGCCACATTTCCCAAGAGAGTTTGCTGGGCTGCAGGCAAAGGTGCCAGTATGGAGGTTTTCAACAGGGCATAGCCTCTCCCAGAGAAGCCCGTGGCAGGGAGAGATGTTTTTATTGAAATCTGAGGAACCTCATATCTTGGCAGTCCCCCCTGACAACAGCAAGCTTTCAAGTTTGAGAATTTAGGCAAAATTCAGAAGCCCCTGTCTGCAATAAACTGAGGGCTTGCTTAGTGTGTGAGACACACTAAAATCTGTCCATGAAGCCTCCTCTTTGGATATTTCACACACATTTTGTTCAAAGGCTTTTATACACCATTTCCTAACTGACTTGGAAGACATTTTCTCATTTAATGAACACTCAAGTCAGTACCTACAGTGAAACTGCAACCAGAAAAGAAAAAATGAATTTCATGGCCTGAAAAACATTAGGAGGGAATCTGAAACATTTTTGAAAAATCAACATCAGTCCCTTGACAGCATGGCTGGGACCTGGATATTTATTTCCACTCAAAACATTTCTATGTGTCTGATATATACAAGCTATTGTTTTTGACACAATCAAAATAAAACAAAACATGCATGACAACTATTAGGTAGCAGAGAAAATGCAATTAGTCTAAACATCAACTAAGGTGAGTTGGGCTGCGGCTCAGGATCTCCTTGTGAGGTGCCCACTCTAGATCTAGGGCCTGGTCTTCCACTGAAAATAAATCACTAGACTTTGGGAAAGAACCTTCTACTCTTCAGCTGGGCTGTTGTGCATATTGCTAGGAGTTGGGGGCGCTACTTCTCAGGAGATGGAAAAGAAGCAGGGATGGTAGGAGCTGGGGGGGGGGGGCTCAGGTTCACTGAAGTTAAGGCAGGATACCCCAGCATACCTAGGACAACTCCATCTGACATTCTGGAACCCCGACCTCCACAAAGCAAGCCTAGCAGGGCCCAGGGCCTTGCAGACTCTAAAGGGGCAGGCGAGAGATAGCCTCAGAAAGGGCACAGTGGTTGAGTCCCTGGTGGAGTTGGCAGGTGATGGAGAAGAAGAGAGGAATTTCTGCTCCTCTCTGCTTGGCCAAGAGCAGCTCTGAGGGGCCGAGGATCTGAGGCGCCTCCTGTCTTGCCCACCCTCTGACTGGTGGAGGAGCTTTCACTTCTCCCTGCGGTGGCTCATTACTATAATTCAAGAAAGAAAGACATGTCGACACCTTTACCCACCTTGACAGGAAAACCATATTTACAGTCAGAATGTAGGATCTCCCTCCCCAGCGTGCTCACTCCCTTCTCCTGCCCCTTGACATTTCCCCCTCCTTCTAGTGCAGCCCAGCCTCAAAGCAGACTAGCAGCTCCTCATCAGAGCTCAGCTCTGGAGTCCAGTTACAGAGCACAGGGCTCTGGCTGAGGCATGTGTGAGGAGGTGAGAGAAGTAGGGGAATTTTACCAGTCTTGGCTGGGAAGTGCAGTTTGCCATGGAGCCCCAGCCTCCCTTGTCCCATTCCTGGGAAGGAAGTATCCAGTCCATTCCGCCCAGCTGGAGGAGCCAGTCCAGCCCTAACTCCAAGGTGTCTCCGAGTTTGTATGGCCACATTCCCTCCCCTTTCCTCCCAAGGTCTGAAGGTCTAGGGTGGCTTTTGTCCTCTCGAACCAGCCAGGGCAGACAGAAGGTGGTGGTGATGGTACACTTTCCTTTCTCCAGAATCATGATTCTGGCGTTGCCACAGGGACTTTGGCTGCAAAGGGACACAATTGTGCCCACAGCCCTTTTCCACTTCGCCCTGGAGGCCTTCCTAAATTCAGTTCCAATCTGAGTTCTAGCTAGCTGTCTGCTAAATGCAGAAATAATTGGGGAGAAGGGAAAAGGGAGACTAGGCAAAAGCAGAAATCCAAGTCGAAGGGAGCTGGAGTGAGCTCAGGTGTAAACGCCTTAGCCAAAAGCGAAGACAGGTGGCCCTGGGCCCCCACTGGAGAAGCCTCAACGCCAAGGCTGTGCTGCAACTTCCTCGGCCCCTCCGGGAAAAGGGAAAGCCTGGAGGCACAACTGGCCAGGTCTCCAAATCTCCTACTGCCCTTTGGGGCTGCAGACGGAGTGGAAGGGTACCTAGGACCAGCTGAGGAGTGGAAGGAAAAGCCCCAGTCCCAGCTCTTCCTCCACGCCAGACTTGGGCTCAAAGAGGCAGGACGGGCCTCGGTCAGGCCGGGGATTAGTATAGAGCCAGCGCCTGCTCACGCAGCACCACGCGTTTCTTCTTCATACGACGGTTCTGGAACCAGATTTTGACCTGCTGGTCGCTGAGGTTCAGCCTGTTGGACAATTCCTTGCGCTTCTGCCGGTTGATGAATTCGTTGAGGAGGAATTCGTTCTCCAGCTCCGCGATCTGCTGCTTCGTGTAGGGTTTCCGCTTCTTGCGGGCCCTCCCGGGGGCCGCCCCCCACGGCAGGCCTGCAACACAGCCCCAACCCAAGTCAGCCCAGCCCGCTCCCTGTTGCCTGCCCACCCTCGGAGGCTCCCTCCCCCTACACACTCTACCCTGCACCCCACCTCCCATTCCGGCCCTGACTGGCCCGGGGAGCATGGCCACCGTTTACCGTCGGGCAGCGAAGGTCGCAGGCAAGAAGCGACGCCCGCTGCCTGCACTGTCATATTCAAGTTGAGCGGGCCCTTGGCGTCGTCCTTGAAGCCGGCGGCGCAGGGGGTCCCCTCAAGCAGGGCCGCAGAGCCTGGCGCGGCACGGCCCACACCCGCGTAGTCGTACTTGGTCGATTTGAGGCCAGCGGCCGCGGGGACCAGGCTAGACTCGGGGGCAAAGGGCGGCCGCGAACGGCCACGCTCCTCAGGCCCGGCGGCCACGTCGGGCGTATAAAACTTGGCCTGCTCTTCGGGTCGGTCCTTGGCGCCCAGGGGCTGCAGGCCAAGAGGCCCGGAGCCAGCCAGGTAGGGCTGCGAGAAGCTGCCGAAGGCGGTGGCACCGGCAGGCTGCGCTGGGGCGCAGGAGGCGGGCGTGGTGGCCCAGGGCAGCGCGCCGCGCGGGTATGAGATGGGGGGAAGTGCGGCCAACTGGCCTCCATTCGGCCGCAGGTTGGAGAAGTAGAAGGAGTCGGGCGACTGCAGATTCAGAAGCGAGCCCACATAGCCCGCTCTGTAGAGACTGCGCTCACACATCTCCAACAAAGGGCTTCGGCTGTGCTCGCAGCAGTATTTAGTTACAACCGGGAATAAGAGGACAGGCTCAGACGATTGGACGAAACTTTGCCTGCAGGTTCTTCAAAGCCGGTCATTTCAGCACCGCCTACATCCCCCCGACCCGTTTTCCCCCCCTTCAGGGTATTATGATAACACCCGCAATATTCGATGGCGAAGGACAGGGCTGCCAGGCAGAGCCAAGGCATGTTGAGCTGAAAGTGAAGCCTCTGCGAGTTTCCAGGCCCAGTGTCAGGAGCTGGGGGCATCAGGCATAGGGTGCTTTTGCCCGAGTGTCCCTTGGGACCCTTGTTGGTCTTGATTGGCTTTGCACTCCCGTTTTTCGCTGCTTACCTGGGCCAGGCTTGCTTCTACTAGCTTTAAGTTGCAGCTGAGGCCTTTCCAATACCGTGTGAGTCTCAGTTTGTCCGAAGATCCCGTGGACTGGTGGAGCCACCAGCTCTGTCCCTAGACCTAAGCAATGGTACTCCTAACCTATCCCTCCCAGTACCATCTCTCTGGAGAGGGCTCTTCACAGGGCGTCTCACAGCGTCAACCCACGAACTGCCTGAGCCCTGGGTCCCAGGCTGCAGGCACAGTCCCGGATGTTTACTGATTGAGAAGTGCATCACAAACTCTCCCAAGTCTGGCGCCTAGGAAGGAAGCTTCACACCACTTCTGGGTGCTTCTTCATAGCCAAGCCTTCTGCTCCTGAGGAGGCCTGAACTGGGCAGCTGGGGTGGCCAAAGTCTACATTCCTTTTATCGCCATGAGTCACCTTGGCGACTACATCCTGCAAACCAGAAGTCCAAGGTGTTCATTCCCTCTGTGGCAGGCAGAGCAGGCCGGGCTCCCCCCGACCTGGTGTGGTAGGAAAGAAGCGTCAGAGCCACCGGTCAGAAACAGCGGGGCACAGCGAGGAAGAGGCCTGGCAGCGTTCCTCTGCTCAGCGCCTCCAGGGCCGCGGGAGGCTGGCGGGTTCCGGGGTCTGGCGAACACGGAGGTGGGCGGGGCAGCGCTCTGTAGCCGCGAGCATTGTGGCAGCCCCCGCAGCAGGCCCTCAGTCTAGTCTGGCCAGAGGGCTGGGGGTCCTCATCTCGTGCCTCGGGTCCTCAGACCCCCAGCGACCCGGTGACTGGAGGCCGCCCCAGCCTGCAGCCCGCCTCGCGGTCCCCGAGCCAAGCTGGAATTGGTTAGACCGCCAGCTCCGGCACTGAGACCACACAGGCGCCGCCGGAGGGCAAGGCTGACCACCGCGCTGCGACTTTATTGTGTGAGTTATGGCGACCAATTGGGCGGCTCTGGGGAACGCAATCGGCCTCTTCCTCCCGCTCTAGGGCGGGGGTAGGGGGTGGGGTGGGCAAGTCGGGGGCTCCTCAAGACTCTGTCAGTTTCCTAAGGAACTCAGACTTAGAGAGACGCATGCCACTCCCCGTCCTTTCATGATGGGGCGGGGGTGGTAGACGCAAGCTGCAACCTCAGTGCCTAGGGACTTAGGGGACCTGGGCTCTCATTTTTGGAAACTCGCCCTGTTTTTGAGGAGCTATGGTTTCCCCAGGTCCGTAAACTCCAGCTCCACGGGTCCCTACCGCCTCCCCTCCTCCCGTCTCAGTATACAGAAAGTCTCCAGTATTTCCAAGTCTACTCCGGGCCCTTAGGCAGTCGCACAGCTGCGGTTTGCCCCTGGGGACTAAAGATAGGAAGGAACTAAGAGTGAGAAACAGAAAAAGACTAGAACAACTGGACTCCCATTATTTCTCCTTGGCTCAGAGTGGTGCCCAGCCCCCGCCCCCCTCACCTCATCTCCTGAGTTTATGATTTCCGAGGTCCCGTAGGCAAAGTTGTATGCATGGAGCTGGGAGCTGGGGACAGAAAGGAAGGGCGGCGCGGGGGGAGGAGGCAGGAGACTAGGCTGGTAAACTGGAGAATGGGAAAGGAAATTTGGCCGCGGAGCTACACGGCGAGTCCTGCCAATGCCGCCAACTGCCCAGGAGATGGCGAGCGAGCTCCACGCCTGGCGAGGAGCCGCCGCACGGTCAAGATCAACAGTGAAGGGCGACGCAGCCGGCCTGGGGTCTGCAGCCCGTGCGGTCACGGCCCGCTGCCAGGCGCGGCCCAGAGCCTCGGAAAGCCGGAGCCCTGGCGGCCAGGCTTGCCCGGACAAGCGAGGCCAGAGGGACTCGGCAGGCTGCCAGACGCGGGGAAGCGTCGCACCCGCCCGCCCCCCTTTGTCTGGCGGTGTGTCCCGGCTCCAAAGCTGCCTTCGCCTCTTGAATAACGCGGAGACACGCGGGCCTTGATTCTCCATCAGCGGCGCTCGAAACCTGCCGGTTTCGGAGACGCTTTCCTTGCGGCCTCTCACTCTCCACCCGAAGGAAAGGCCTCTCCCCGAAGCTCCCAGCGCGTTGCGGCTTCCAGCGGGCCTACCTTCCAACGCCTAGCCCACCGACCTGTTCCTCCCCTCCCCCCTCAACCCGGAATATAAAAGGAATTCATATAAATAACAAAGTCTTCATCTGTTATTGATTTAGCCTTCAATTCAAATTCCACTGGGAGAGCGTTTGAGCGCAGTTTTAATCTTCAGCAAACCTCCCATTTCTCTTAGGCAGAGGGATACCGACGGGGAAACTGCAGTTAGAAGGAAAACCTCGAGGCAATTCCCTCCATCCGCTTACAGGAAACCTGAGAAATGGACCCGAGAAGTGGGTCTCGGAGTTTGGATGTTACAAAAAAGAAGTGTGTGTAGGAGGGGGGCGGGGAGGTTGGGGACGAGGATGGGAGAACAAGGGAAAACAGGCCCGTTTCAGATGAAAATACATCTTGTGAGAAAACAGCAAATGTTAGGGATTCTTCCCAAAGTGGAAGGTCGGATCGGTGTGGCCGCATTTTCCCCAGAAATTGAATCATGGTCACTTCTCCTCCTCCTTCTTCCTCTCTCTCTCTCCCCATCCCCCTTTCTCCCCCTGTGTGTACGTCTCTGTCTCTCGCTCATTATTAACACGAAGTTGACTGCCCCGCACTCAGTTGCAAGATATGAAAGAAATCAAGCCGGTCAGAGAAAACGAAAGTAGCTTCGAACCTGTGATCTCTGCTCTTTCTCTGGCAGATATGTAAAGGAGCCCTCCTGCCAGGAGAGTTTACATATTGTGTGAGGTTTTGAACATCTGTAGTGAGCTCATATACAAAAAAGTTAGCAACCACTGAAGTAATTCATTGTGCCTGGGTGCTAACAACGAAAAGGCACCCCACTCCTAAACGGCCATTTCCCTGAGAGGCAAAAAGAAAGTTCGTAGTGTCTAAAAATTGCGTCTAGAGATCCAGGCGTATAATTCTGGTTTCAGCCTGCAACTGCTGTGTGTGGGGTGCCGACAGAAGGCGATAAGGCATAAGCTGAAATGTTCCCTTTTCAATTGCCAAATATGGATATGTCTAATTTCAAGACCTTCCTAGAGTAGATATTTATTACAGCCTTTCTAGGAAGAAAACCTCCAAGTGAGCACGTTTTTCTGTACCCGGGAACATACATATTGATTTTAACAATGAAATTGTTTGACTAAATTGGTAATATTGAAAGAGAAATACAATTTTATTGGAGATGTTTTTGAGGTGGTCTAGTAAAAAAAAAATATTGTTTTGGACACCACAAGTTATATCCTCACTTAAAGACATTACTATTTATGTTAAAGCCATGGAAAAGTGGAGCAGGGTGGCAGACGTGGAGAGCCTAGAGGTTTCAGAGACCAGAAATAATGTTGAGTTTTCTTCATGTATAGGGAACATAATAGTGTTTCAGATAACAAGATTTTATAATAAATAAGAACAGTTTCTAGAGTCAACACCAGCTTGGAAAAGAAAACAAATGTATAGAGACTCAGAGGAAATAAGAGAGTTCTGTTTATTTGCATCTCCCTAGGAGTAAAAAGTGATTTTTAAATGCCTGAAGCACTGCGCACATATCCCAGCTCACAGACATTTCATCTACAAAAATAATCTCTCAGTCGTATAAATATTCAGCACTTTAAAAGTAGTTATCACTTTCAGAAACATTTTTTTTTCCTTCTTGGACCTTAGAGCTCCACAATTTTTGCACTTGTTAGATGTTTTACAGCTTCGAGAAAGGCCCAATATATTTGTTCTGACAGTCAAGTTCTTCACTGGGTTCTGGATAAAAGTTCCCACCCGCGGCCACATGGGTGGGAATTTTTCGGGGGGATGGAGGAGATGGCCTCACTTCTAGTTCCACAGACTGGAGGCCAAGGAGGGAGGGGGTGCATTTATACCATCCACAATTGCAGCCATTTAAATATTTGTGTCTAGAGCTGGCGTAAGGAAGGCATCCATGAGGACACATTATTTTCAAATTAAAGACTGTAAAAGCACAAATCTACAAGGTGTATTAAACACATAAAACTACAACAGCAAGTGAAAGACCCAAAGTCAGAAAGATTGTCTTCGTTCCAATAGCAATACAAACCCTATTTAATAAGGTAGCTGCTTTTAAAGCCATCACAGTACCTTCAGCCTCCTGTTTTTAGACATTTCCAGTGACCCTTCAGTACTGCCTGCCCAGAGCTGTTTTCACTTGCCTCAGGGCAACTGCTGAGAGCTAATGATTCAATTACCTAATCACAGGATATGAATGACTGCAAATCGTTCTGCCCTAATGGATTATGAAGATAATCAGTGCTGGAAACAGGCATATAAAGTAATTTTAAAAATAAAATCCTAAAAATCAGAATGAATGACATTTCTGAAATTCATGGGGTGGGGGCATTCAAAAATACTTCAAGTCCTTTATACTGGCCTGGAGGGAGAAACAGAACATTGAAAACATCATAAAAAATAAACCTAGAAAAGAAAAAAATCAATAATACACACATAAACAGAACTACAAAGTCAGGTGGGGTAGCAAAAAATTTTAGAGCCAGATAAGGGGAAGAGAGAAAAACAATTCACAAAATTTGCCATTACTGGCTGGGAGAGGGGCGCATTAAATACATATTCAAGTCTTTCCAAAGGTCTTTTGGAGACAACGGAAAGCATTTAAACAGCTCTGTGGCCAATCTGGTCCACATCAGGAGACAGTATCTTTGAGCTTGGAGACAATTTTCTTATCTTTCACTCTTCGGTTCTGAAACCAAATGGTCACTTGTCTTTCAGATAGGTTTGTGGCAGCTGAGATCCGCCGCCTCTTGTCCTTGTTAATGAACTTGTTAATAGCATACTCGTTCTCCAGTTCTTTGAGCTGCAGTTTGGTGTAGGGAACCCTCTTCTTCCTCCCCCGACGGTAGACACACATGTCTGGCTGATTTAGAGCCACATCCCCTGGTGTAAAAAAGAGAATGGAAAAAATTAGACCAGAATACCTAGAGCACCCAGCTGGGGAAAATGTATGTATGTTTGCAGGGGCTACAGGGACTAAAGAAAACCAGGTTATTTACTAATTATTTTATTATAATTTACACAGACATTATTTATATGTTATTAAAGAAAGATTATTTATATTTCAAAGTGAAGGCCTATTTGATGGATCATCGTGGTTTCTCAAACCAGCAACTTAAGAAGTCTTCGATTTTGCAGCGTGGTTATTAAGAACGCTCATAAGGACAGTTTTTGCAAACACCCATTGCGCACGTACCAACCACACGCGGACTTTAAAAAAAAAAAAAAGCAGGCTATTTGTTCAAGCTTTGATTTCTTGTGTTCCTGTGCTTGAAACTTATAAGCTTTAGTGGTCATTCTGGGGCATTCGTGTCCTTGAAAAGTAGGGCCCAATTCTGTGACACCTCTTTGGGGAAGAGACCAAAGCCTGACTTAGCAAAGGGCATGCGAAGACCTTCAACTTTAGGAGAAAAACAGGCCTGTGCCCGTACACAACAAGAAAAAGGTTATGAGAGAGGCAGTTTAAATCAAAGGAGGAATTTGCAGATTTCACACTAACTGGAGGAACTGTTCCATTGAGTTAACCCTAGTTGGGCAAAGGAGGCGCCCACTCTCAAGTAGGGACATACACTCCGAGTCCTTTCTTTGCCTTCTTCCCTTCCTCCTGTCCTCCCCCTTTTGCGCCCCCCCTCCCCCCCGCCAACGTCCCTACCTGGAAAGGATGATTTCCAAAAGTGGGAGCCCTGTGGCTGGTCCTTGGCGCAATACACCTGGCTGTTCCACCCGTTGGCCAGCGTCCAGGACTGGTAGCCCTCCATGGAAATGTACGCCTCGTGCCGAGGCTCCCCGGAGCCGAAGGTAGACACCATGTCGATGTAGCCAGGCACGTGCTGGTAGGGGCTCGTGTAGCCCTGATAGAAGGACACCTCTTTGGCTCGCGCGGGCACCTCGTTTGCGGGTACGCTGCTGCTTGCCAAGCCCGACACGTCCATGTACTTCTCCACCGGGAAGCCTCCCAGAGAGGAGTGTGGCGACGACTTGAGAGCATTTTGCTGTAAGCCCACACCGTGCGACATGCGGCAGCTATAGTAGCCGTTACCGAAGTGGTAGCCGTAGCCCAGAGCTGGGGCGCCCGGGGGCGCTGTAGCGGCCGCTCCGGGCGCAGGGCACTCTTTGGCGGAGGGAGCCTCCGGGCGCGCTGCGACCACAGCCGAAGATGACGACGACGAGGCGGAGCCCGCGCGCTCAGATGTCCCAGGGTATGCGAAACCCGAGGCCGCCGCTGCCGCCGCTGCCGCCGCCGCCGCCGCCGCCGCCGCACGCCCGGAGTGCGTCCCGGCGAACACTGGCGCGGAGAGGAAGCCGCGACATTGGCCGGGAGCTGCCGCCGCCACAGAGGAGGAGGAGGAAGAGGAGGCCGGGGCCGCCCCGGCGGCCCCGCCGTCCGCCCGCAGCCCGTCCATGTCCCAGCTCCCGGCGCGGCTCATGGCCCGGCCTGGCCGGGACCTGGCCCTGGCCCTGGCCCCGCGCAGGACACCATGGCGCAGCGCGCCTCCTCCCTCCTCTCCTTTCTCTCTCGTTCTCGCGCTCCCGCCCTCTTCCTCTCTCTCTCTCTCCCCCTCTCTCGCTCGCTCGCTCTCTCCCTCTCACGCTCTCTCTCTCGCTCTCTCTCTCTCTCTCTCTCTCTTGCTCTCCCTCTCTCTCTCCCACAGCAAGCCTCCCGCCTCCCGCCGGCCCGCCCGCCCTCCAACAGGTTAGCTCATCGCGGGACGTTTATAAAAACGAAGTTCAGGTTGGGAGGGGGCCTGGGCCGGTCGGGGGGCCGCCTCCCTCCCCGAGGGCTCCTGCTCGGGGCCGTACCATTGGCTGCGCGGGGCCACGTGGGGGTGGGGGCGCGGGAGAGTCTGGCTCGCGGCCCGGGCCCCACTGGACCCACCCACCCTGACCCCCACCCCTCCCTAGCCCCTTGCGCAGCCCACCTTCCCTTCCCGCCCTCCTGGGGACCCTGGCGTTTGCGCCGCAGCCACCCCCACGAGCTGATTGCGCGACCAACCATCCTAGGCCCTGTTTGCGACTGAGGCGGGAGCTGAGGCCTGCGCCTTTTCTCCGCCAAGGCTGTCTTGCCACCTCTCCCCGGCTCCCTGAGCTGCACAGCTAAATGAAGGCGAACGACAGAGACGGTCAGAATGTGAAAACAGACCAATTTTTTTTATCCTGTTGCTTAATCGCTCGGATTAGCTGGCCTAGACCCCAAACCTGACGGAGTTAATTTTCCCGACTTTGCTATGGGGGCAAAGACATATCACGCAAGTTATCCCAGGGATTCTCCGAATTAAGACCAGTTGCAGCAGACCCTGCTTATACACATATTGTCCTTCTGGAAAATGCTCACAAAGCGCCCTTGTGCCTAGGCGCAGAGACTTACAAGTAAGGCAAGCAGACGAAAAGACTCGGCGCGGGAACTTGACGATCTGTTCCAGCGAGAGATGTCCGATGCCTGGTCTACACTATTCGCCTTTACAGTCGGGCCAGCCGGGAGCCGTCTCCCGAGCTGGGCTCCCCAGGCCTGGCACAGCCTCCCCCGGCGCGCAGAAAGACTCAACTGAGGGCTCCAGGCGAAAGCCACTTAGCCGCCTGGCGCAAAAGCTGTGCGCCTCGCCTGCAGCCGACCAGTCTCCTGCATTTTGCAGCCACCACCCACCCCCGCCCGCCACTCACACCAATTAATTGAAAACTTCACTTTCCCAAGGACCTTTGTTTCGCTTTCTTTTCCAAGCTGCCAACTGCAGAGACCTGAAGAGGAGAGGGGCAAATTAAGAGGGCGGGTTCCCCGCCCCCTCCCAAACAAAGTTGGGGCTGGTGATAGGAACAGCCCAGGGCAACTGGGTCTGACCTGGAGGGGTTAGAGTGGGCTGCCAACTGCCTGGGGAGGGTGTCACGGATCACAGCCCTGACCCCTCTTCATCCCTTTGTGCCATTCCTTAGCCACTGAGCCCCAGTCTCCCATCCTCCATCTCATCCATTAAAAGAGAGCTGGTGTGAGTCCTGTGGTGAATCTAGCGTTCCACTTTAGGAACGACATCGCATTAGCTGAGGGTTCTGGGATGGGTGTAGGAGCCCTCAGAAAGAGCCCATTTGAATCTGTAGTATCAACTCCCCAGGCCAGACCATTTCCAAGAAAATCACTCTCCCGAATGATTGGTGAGGTCAGCTTGTCACCTAGCCCTGCTGCTCCTGGGCCCAAGACGGAATCTGGATGGGGCAGAGTGAAAGAACCTGGGCCTTTTACTGGGGCAGAGTAAAAGAGCCCTTCTGGGCCTGGCCTGGCATGGCAGGGTGGGCTGCTGGTGTTGGGAGTGTTGACACGCAAAACCCAGTAACCATAAAAGGCTCAAATAAAGGGGAAAGTTATGAGAGGGGCGCTGGAAAGGAAAAGCGGGAGAATCTGACTTTTTTGAAGTCCTAGACATGTTCATGATCAATTTGAGACAGAAGGACCCTAAGCCTTTGCAGAAAATCATAGGAAATAGGAATTTGCTAATAAAAACAATTTTGGCTACTTGAGAGAAAGCAAAAGTTAGCAACGGAAGCTGCATTGGCATTAAACAACAACAAAATGCCAGCCAGGGCTAGGTGATAGTTACTGACTTTTTGGAAGAGTATGACTAGATTTTATTTACCCAACACTTTTGGTACCAAACCAATCATGGGATGCTACCATGAAATGCTCTTACTTTTCCTTTATCTCCTCTTCTTTTTCTCAGAGAGGGAAATTTTTTTCTGTGACCTCAAAAACCAAATTTGTTGAAATATTTCTAGGACACGATTGGAACCAACGAAGTTTCAGTCTCTTAAAACTAAATATCCCTGTGATCTCGTGCCCTGGAACATCAAAGCGATTTTCTATCTGATAAATACCTTTAAAAAGCTGATTATATGCTAAAAACGAAGAAAGTCAAATTAAGATAGGAAGGAAGGACTTGTAAAGTTTTGCTGTTTTCAGACAGCCCTTCACTTTTGGTTTTTTTATCGATGCAGCAAATTAAGTTCTGCAGGACTGGAGGAGAGTCTGAATTAATGCTCTGGTTGAAAGACACTTCTCAATGGTGGTTTTGCCTCCAGTTGCCCTGTGGGACTCTTGGAAGACTCAGGATTTCTCTGCCTAACTTCGTGACTGTTCAGAGACCAGGGAGACTTTGAACAATAAAGGAACATTGCCTCTTGCTATCCTGCTACAGAACCTGCTTCCAGTGTAGCCCTAATTCCTGGGAGAGGGAATTCCTTATTGGAAAGAGGCTCTGACAGGACCCTATGAGGGCTCCTAAATCCAGCACCCCAGGTCAGCCGCTGCTATTGGATTATAGGGCTGTGGTTGAGTACCAGGCAAAGTCAGGGCTGCTCTTTTTATGAACCAATAAGACACATAGTTTACAAGCAGGGGTGGTAGTTAGGGAAAGAATTTTGAGGCTGAATTTGCAGAAACATTTCATTTAGCTTGTATACCCTGTGTCCGAGCTGACTTCAAGTTTAAACTTAATAAGAATAATTTTCTTAAACTGGCCAGTAGCATAGACCCTGTGGGTGTGTGGATGTATTAGGTTGGGACTTTAACAACAGAAATAATCTTTGTTAAATGAAAATCTTTTGCAGCCATTAATGTCCCCAAACACTGATGTGTTATTTAGTAAAACCAGTTTTGCCACCTTTCCTGATTTTGATGAGAAACTCAGTCTAGCCCTTCCATTGTTCAAAGTTCCACTCTGCCAGGGAGAGAGTCAGATCAGCTCTGCCCTTTCTTCCTTTCTGTCCACAAGCACCCTTTTGGGGAATCAGTCATGTTTTGAAAGTCACATTCTCTTTTCTTCCTTGTAGGTGGCCTTTCAAATTATGTTCCTGTCAGGGGGCGGGAAACGGGTAGATGCAGGATGTGATTGAGATATATTGAAGAACGTAAGTTCCTCTGCTTGCCAAGAGAGCAGTGACCTGAATTAACCACATAATCAGTGACCATTAGGGCCAGGACAACATTTACCAAGTCCTATCAGGGTGGGGTCCTGGGGGCTCCTTTGAAAATGTTATGCAGGACACCCTCCGAATTAACTTGTAAGGAACCAAAACTGCAGTGTAGAGATAGCCTTAATTCCAAAGTAAAGTCTTAAATCCAGTGGACCTGGCTGGACAGTGTTCTTAACCAAGCCTGTGTCCTGACAAATTTGGAGCTAATCTTCCTTCTGCAGACAGTACCCAGTTTTACTCCGGCTGGAAATAGCAAAAGGATAAAACAAAAAACAAACAAACAAACAAAAAAAAACCCAACAAACCTAGGGTGAAGAAAGGGGTCTATAGCAAAAACCAGACAGTGGAATCCTGAGGTCTGAGACATACTGTTTGGATTTAACAACAGTATTAGGCTTTATTAAGTGTAAATTGTTTGCAACAAAGAAAACCCTCTCCAAACCCGAAGCGTTATTTGGTGAAACCAAGTTTGCCTCCCACAAGGCAGCTGGCCCTGGTTTGGGGATGGAGAGCACTCCTCCATTAATGGCACGAATTAAACACAGCCAGCGCCTTCCCTCTCAGAGAAGCACTAACCTCACTGCGGTTGAGGCGCCCCCGAGGGTGGGCCCAGAACCGGGACCGTGGTTACTTGTTGCTCTTTTCGCAAAACAAAAGCTGAGACCGCAAACAATTTTCTGCTGTTTTGTTCACATCTCAAGGTCCTGGGACTGTCCTTGGAATACATTTGTCTAGCAATATTGTTAACTGAATTCCAGAAAGTGTTCACTTGTTTGGCCCTTTGGGATGAAAGGGTGTCTCCCTACCCGCCCACCCCCCATACCCTCTGTTCTCCCCCTATTCCTCAGAGCTCGCTGTCTCAGTGGGCAATCCTCCCGTGGTCACCGGCAGAGCTAAGGGATGAAGGTTAGGGAAGTGCCTAATCACCAAGGGGTGAGGGTCGGGTGGGATGGGGGCCGCAGGGAGAGAGAAGGGGCAAGTGGTCAATCTAAGCTTCCCGGATGGGCGCCGCGCAGTTCCCCAGGCCTGGCGCTAGATGTCCCTGCAAGTTCTCCTGTCGCGTCTCAGGGCACACAAGCTTCCAGGCAGGCGGTGTATCTGGGTAGCCCCCAGAGTTCATGGAGAAAGCACCTCTCCACCCTCCACCCAACACCCTTGGCCTTACCTAGTAGGGTGCAGGATTGTAGATGGAAGGGGAAGGAGAAATAGAAGTAGTCAGAGAGGCCTGGGAGAGGCACAGAGCTCGAGACAGGCCAGCCAGTGGTGGCAGCAAAAAGTTGACAGGAAGGAGTCCGGCCTGGAGTCGCCAAACCAGCATCTTCCTTTCTAAACTGAAACTTCCAAGCCGTAGGGACCTCACTTAACCTAAAGAAAATGTTCCGTGGGTTCGCACAAAATGTGTCGTGGGTTGCTAGGCTCTAGCAATTCTGCTGTGCAGGCCCTTCCAGTGGACCCAGGCCTCTAGCAAGCT